GTTTGTTGTGGTGTGGTCTTGGCAAAAGTAAGCAACTCAGGTGTGTGAGCAACTGCCAATCCCCGACACACCGATGTGGCTAGAGAGGTGGCACAGACGCAACTAAATATAATTTAAACATGTTTTACACAACGCATGCTAGAGCAAACTGCATGCAAATTAACAGAAAGGTGCACCTATATTAGGTATACATTTTTTTTTAAAAAAGAATGTAAGAAATACATAAGGTGACAGAGAAATAGCGTTACTAGGGTTTATCTAAAGAAATTCTAACTAACTAGCGTGTCCAAAAGAGGAGATTCTGCTCAACTTTTCGTTCTGCAAACCCGAATATAATAAGCAGAGCAAGCTCTGCTAATTAACATAGACAGTTGCAGAGCGCGAATACTAGAATCTTAGAGGTAGCCTAATATCGCGTGTGAATTATTAAATAATTCTAAATAATTATTCTATATAATGCCACTATTTATGCATTCATAGTTCAGTTATGCATAAGGCCCCTGGCCGAAACTCTATCTCCTGACCTGACATTGACTAGAGTATCTATTGACTGAATTTTAAAAGCCTATCACTGAGGCTATATATAATCCAGTGTATTTTGAAAGGTAGGCCCAAAAGCTACCACTGCAGAATTCACTTCAAACATATACTTGCGTCATTTCCCAGCAAGGACTTCGTCAAGCTTCCCCCAGAACTGCATGATCACTTACAACAGAAGGTAACAATATTTGATTTGCAGGACAACTTAGAATCCTCCTTGGAACTCCTTAATTCCAGCAAGAAGGCGGATAAATTAGACCTACTCTAGTTATGATTCGTGGTAGGTGATAATGTGTTGTTCGAAGTCTGTCCAATCAAACAGGGGTGAGCGAACACCAATTCGACATGTTCCAACTCTGAACATTCACCCCGCCTTTCAACTTGGTCTCCGGCTTGGCAATTCGCAACCGTTGTGCACACTCCGAGTATCCGAAATACGAAGGGCGTGCAGGCCAATAAGAATCCCATTGGATTACGATCTGATTCCAAGACTTTTCGGTAAAGCAGAGATGGTCACTCCGCCACTTTGCCAACTCAACACGATCTTGCTGCATCCATGGATGCTTCTTGATTTCGGGTAGGTGACCCGGACGCTTGGTACATATACTAGTGGGGCATCGCATGATACTCTCCATCAATGGTGGTATATTCAACGTCTTCCCTGAACGTCTCCATCCTAAAAGTTTATTGTACGACCATCTTCTCCGTTCTTCTTCCTCATTCTTTGTCGTAAAAACCCAATATCTCGAAAATGGCGTTGAATAATACATTTTCGAATGGTATGTTGTCTGAACAGCACCTCGTCATGCCTTATACAATGGCTGGGGCTGATGTGAACACCTCTAGCAACATGCCTCACGCCAGCGACTATGTATCCAAATATGACCGAAATCGAGGAATGCCAGAGCCGCGCAGAATCAATATACTGCTACCCACCGAATGGGACTCGAATCTGTGTTCCGACAGAAGATGTCCCGTGTAGGCTCCTTCTTCCTCCTAGTCGCCCGTTTCTGCTTCTCGCGGCCTCACAAATCTTCTTCAATAGCTTCTAACTCTCAACTTCAGTCTACTGGCCCCCAAAATACTACCACTCCGACGCCAAAATTTGCCTTGAATATGATCTCAACTCCTACTTCGCCTATTTCAGATACAACTGGGGTAATAAAACCCAGGAATTCACTCCTGCCATGTACGAAGCTGTGGCGTCACCCATTCCCGGCCAGTTAAACGAGAAAATGATGAGGATGTACCTCTTGGAGCGCCGTTTCAATACGAGTCTCGATCCTTATAATCTAGAGACATATGATGGCCCCAAACTGATTCTTGTCAAGACAGCGGAGTTCCCCAGTAGGACGCGTTCATATGGGATAACCGCTACGGTAACAACTCAAAGCTCGAATCACAACAGTCATAGCAGCTCTGGGATCTCAAGCCAAAAGGCCGCTGGAATTGCTCTCGCTACGATATTTGGTATCATTGCAGTTTTAGTATTGCTCTGCTGCAGGTGTTGCTTGGGGAGGCGGAATAAGAATGCAGGTGGAGTGAATGGACGAGCCGAAGACTTTGCGAGGAGGGTACCAGACTTGCAGACTCAATCGGAGAACATACCTAGTCGTACACAGGGAACGAATTTCGGTGAGGAGATGACAACCTTGGACATGAACAACGAGCCCCAACGGCCTACTCGAATAAGGGATGCCGACCTCGAGAGTTTGCCGCCCTATAACATAGACAAGCCACCGAAATACTCGCCCTGATTCGAGCTTGTCAGCAGAGTTATTTGGATATCAACCTAGGTGACGAAATGCTCAAACGAACCCTCGCTCGATTTTCTTACCAAGAAATATGGACACCTGGCGAGCTTGTATCATGTCAATATTGAGGCGCTTCTGGGCTGGTGAATCACCGCAGCCATAAGAGGTTGCAGCCTTCACACCCAACCTCAAAGCATTGTTACACTTGCTTGCAGATGTAGAAACGACGACACACCAGCATTTCCACCAATTCAATTCAACAGGGAAATTGCCCATGACAGAACTTTAACCACACCATAAGAGAACCAATAAGATCGTCCTTGGCGCCTGGAGCACTTGCTCGGTAGTCACTTTTGCGTCCAGATCTCCTCGCACTGCTAGTGTGCGCCAACCTGAGATATCGACCCTCGAATGTACGACACGAGGATCTCCGTTAGAGGTCATAGACCAGTGCACATGGGCTGACGAAAGTCGAGGTGAATCCGCCTTGTATGGATTTCAAAGGGAATACGCCCATTTCTTAAGTTGGGTGACGTACGGGGTTTTCTCCTTTACCCTTGAGTTCGGTTCGTATATTGCCTCCCTAATTCCAGTCCAAATATGACTAACTAAAGTAGATATTCCTCTGGGCAAGGTCTTCCTCGCACACATCTTCTCATTGGCCATTGGAACAAAGGTATTAGCACGGCTACTTCATGGCTACACAACTGTACCAAGAATCACTATCGCTGCAGGATCAGCGATTGCTCGTACTTTCCTTCCCGAATGCTCGAGTTCTATAGTTGCATCCGGGAATATGAGATGATTTGATACATCTCCGACTCCACGAAGTGAATAGGCCCCAAGCAAACAACTTAATTGCCTCGCTATATCACACGCTTGGAGTGACCCCAAAATTCATTCTTAGGCGACAGCGATATGGTTGTGATAGTAAAACTCCTCTGTACTCTGTAACGGCTCCGCGACATAACCAGAAACCGGCACTTCCGGGCCGATACGTGTGCTCTACTAAGGTTGACCCCAAGCAAATTCTGCGCCACTAAAGAAATGCGGGCAGCCTAGGGCTAGGGGTTACCAGTGGGCAGATTATGTGCAGTCTGTGGCGTAGTAGCTGGAACGAGGAACCCATTAGATGAGCAGCCTCTTTGGGATGAAGAGCTCATTTGAAATGAGAAGCTAGTTTGAGCTGACTGCAAAGTTTCTAATATATATCTACGAAGACACCTGATGAATGGCTATCAACTCTTAGTACTAAACAGAGCGGGTGGAGGGGGAATCGCTGGCCTACTAACCTCTTTCTAGGGTCGTCAAAGGGGCTGAGGATTTGCCGAGGGGCACTTGCTGTGTCTTATTAGCAGGTTCGATTAGACATGTGCATATCCTATTTCATCCACATTAAACATTGCAGAATCCTGAGGTTAGGACCTCTGTTATGTGAGGTATTTGGTAGTGCAGATGTAGTGCGCTAGATCGGAAAAGTCCAAGCACCGTGTTTTTGAACTGGAAATGCATTGATACTTCACTTGCTACCTTCGTGTAATAGTAACGAAAACACTAACCCTTTTTATCCTTCATCTCAGTGTGGCAACCTATCTTCGCTTCGAAGCAACGCGAATTTCTGTCTCCGGTGCACCATTTAAAGCACAGACTGATAATGGTGCATTCGAGTTTTGCTACCTAAGGAATCTCGACAAGGAATACTAAGGTAACTAGCTGTGGCGCTAGCCGAGTCGTAGGTGAGCTTAATGTAAGCAGGAGGCGAGCTCTGGGTGAGTAAGGGAGCAAGTAAGGGTGAGTATGGGGTAGGCTCCAGGTGTACAAAGGGGAGAGCTCTAGGAGGTGAATTAGCGGGTAAATACAGGGGCCATCTTCTAAGCTTAAAAGGCTCTCCTTCCACAGCCTATACAGATTTTGCGGTCAATTACTGTTTAAATCCCGTTCGGTCCCCTAAATTGAAATTGGCTCTCGGCGCCATTTGTGCTGCGGATTTCATAGAGCCCAGCTTATCTTAACCAGACTCTTTTCATTTAATCTGGGAATAGAATGAATACTACCAATGCGTACTAAATAAAAAGTATCACTAAGCTACATGCTCCTGTTCAACGAAGCCTGAGAATCGAAGAAGACATAGGACGTAAAAGAGCTGCTAAGGACGCGAATGCCTATGTTCATAAAAGCCTCGTTGTCCAAGCTTAACGAGACAGGCCTGATTTAGTAATGGATTTACATTTGGTAGAGAAGAAATATAACTTCTATCTCCAAATTTTGGTGACAGGGTGTCTCAGATCACGTGTACCTCACCTTCCCGTCCAGAAGGTCGATCTGCCCCTATGCTAGCCTCGGCTACAACTAACTTTAGGCACTTCTGCCATTCGAAACACTAGTACTGGTACAGATGCTGTAGCTCCGCTGCGAATCTCTTGTAGTGTGTCATAGGGTCTCCATGAATATTAGGAGAAGCTACAGTAGTCAAGGCTTTTAGTGGTACTGTGTGGCATTCAATTCGCGGAGGAGGTGGTGCCATTCTATTCGAGGGCTTGGAACGTTGTCGGGCCGGTGATGGGCTGGCATACTCGGTAACTGTGTTCTGGTTAGTGTTTGGGTTTAGCCACCGCGCTATGCCGTCGTGTTGCCACTGGATGACTGCAGCTGACTAGCTCGTAGGGTTTCGCGCTCTCTTCCTGTCGTGGCTGAGACAGCAGCTCTACAGGTACCAGTCAACGGCTACTAGCAGATGTGGTTTTGGTGGTTTTGGTAGCAGGATGGGGGGAAGGTCCATGCAGGGGGTCGAGTCGTCTTATCGTTCGACGCAGACGCGAGACGTGCCGAGCCGTAGGAGACCGAACCGTGGTGGCCCTCCCTTTGTTCTTCCGTAGCTAGCCTTTCGGTTCGTCCTCGAAAAGGCACCTTATCAGGCTGCGGGCTGGACTGAACACGAGTGTGGATGCATATGCTTGAAGAGGACTCTCCTCTTTTGCTCGACTGTGCAGGGATATGGGTAGGGATACTGGCAAAGTATTGTCGTGCATAGTGTGGTCGCACAGTAGTGCTCGCGAGGGATCACATTCAAGAGTACTTAGGGATCAATCCCTCACAAGTGGCGAAGGAAATTCGAATATATGAAAAGTAGATAAAGGCTATTGTACGCCAGGAGCTTAGATCGCTCGCGTAACTAAAAAGCAAACTTCGATAGGACGTATAGTTGTCTGAAAAGAGTAATAAGCGTAGTTACAAAGCTGCGGCACCTCTTCTAAATGTTGTTGAGGAGCCCTTGACGCTGATGCGGATGCTATATCTGCTGAAGTTTGGGTGCTAGCATGCAGGCCGTCCGCCGACACCTGCAATGTACAGCTCCTACCATGTTATTGCATGTAATTTGTCGTCCTCAACGGGGTCACCGAATGTCTCTTCGTGTTCCTCCCACAAAAAATAATAATGGTGCTTTTACAATTATTTGGAACTCCACAGCCTCAAAAGTTGTGGGGACGTGCGCTAAGTGGGGACGTGCGCTAAGTGGGGACGTGCGGCGTCTGATTAAAACATGATAAATTTAAACGCAGCAATTAATGATCTGGGTTGTAGAAAGCGCTGCGCATGTGAAACGGTATCCTATGCGGCGTAACCCACAGAGCTTGGAACCGCAATCAATTCCGATGCACCAAGTTTCATGCTTTTTTCACAGCCTCGCATTAGGTTCATGGAAGTGGGGCACGCAGGGGCTCCAGCACAGCCCCCGGAAACCCCCAATCAACTACCACAAATGCTGCTATTCTGCGGCTGGGTCGACCAAGCTGGCGCTTAACGCCACTCTATGAGTTGTGTAAATTGAGTACACGCTGAACACCCGGCGTTGGCCTAGGTATATGTTAGGTCAGAGAGCCACTGAAGGTCTTTTGGGATAGAGATTCGTCTGCTCTTTGTGTGTGATTGCATCAAGCCTCGACGAGTTTGTTGCAACATATTGTCCCTTTCTATCGCGAGTAGCTAAGGGGGTTAGTTTCACAATGGGCATTAGTTTAAATTCCCGCCACGACTCCTTCAGCCAGTTTCCTCCAGAGCAGCGAAAGAAGAAATTATGGGATCCAAGTACTACTCTGGACATCATCAATCCCAGTAAAGGGTGTCTTACCTGCGTCGGGTATGCCCCGAGCTGTGGCCGACGATGCCGCAATCCAATTAACCAGGCGAACCGAGCATCCGCTTATCGGCTTCTAGAAGACCTATCTTACATCGATGCGTCCACTACAGACATCAACGCAAAGCTTCATCAGCTAGCAGGACTCACACTGTGTTTGAGGTTCCATCAGGGTCAAAAAAACGACATAGTTAAGAAATGGTGCAGGAAGATAGACCAACAGCAAACGGCGTCTCGGATCAGCATCGACGCCAAGGTAGACCCAAATCGAATTGAGGAACAATTGAAAGATATAGAGGGATTGCTCGCACATATCCTTTACAAGACCAAAGGAGCGGACGAATTCATCTTCTCTTCGCCCACAAGCCAGCACTACCGAAAGCGATACGATCCGCAGTCTGCTCAAGAAGAACGAGCACAGAAACAACGGGAAGAGGAAACGCGTAAGTCGAGAGAACGAGAACGAGAAAACCAACAGCAGGAACGAGTGAAAAAGGAGCGAGAGGAAAAGGAAAAAAAGAAGCGTGAGGAGGAAAAAATGCAAAAGGAAGAGCAACAAGCTAAAGATAGAGAGGCACGCGAACGGCAAGAGAGAAACGAGCGCATTCGCCAGAGAGCTGAGCAGGCGAGGAAAGAGAGCGAACGAAAAGCAAGGGAGCTGGCTGCAAAGGAGAGGGAAGAATGGGACAAAGTATGGCTACACTATGTACTGCAATGGGATGATATTAAGAGTACGTCCTTGTCTATATCAAGCTTTCGGCAAGTTGGATATGTGTGCTAACCGAGATCCAGAAAAAGATATGAAGGGCACTTCAGTATGTACACAACATCATCTTGCACTATAGGATTACTAACAAACTAATTCAGGAGAATTTGCGAAAAATCATACCTTGGCCGGTCAAATCTGGTGACTGGAGAGGTGTATCTGGGCCTGCTGTCGAAGATTTTTTCCGGAAGGCGCCTCCCCAAACAACTAGCGCCGAGAAGATGCTTGCGATTATGAAGATGGAATGCTTGAAATGGCATACAGACAGGGTTCCCAGAATGTTTGGAGTAATAGAGGACAAAAATCTGGCGGACCTTTTTAACACAGTGGCTCAGGTTGCGATCAAGATAAGAGCAGAGACAGGACGCCAGCGGGAGCGATGATATTTCATGCATGCGTTGGAAGTGAAGCCTTAGAATGTTGCCATCAGAACGTCAACAACAATCCTAATGAGCGACGGGTGAGTGAATAGGCGGGTGACAGCGGATGACCATATGCTAAGTGTAAGCAGAGCATCATAAGCAGCATATGGAACTAGCTAACCTATCGATCTCGGGGATTGGAACTGGGGAATGTATTAGCATTGTGTGTAAGTCCTAGTCATTCAGGGACGTCGGGCGGAAACCGCAACCGGCGATCTTAATGGACCGAACCTTCTGGAGCTGGATGAGGTAGATTTAGAATTGTAGCAGAGTGGATTGTCACTCGTTTTGGTGGTGGGTGGGTCGGATTGCGGTTGGTGGATATCCTGGAGCTCCATTCATCTTACTGTAAACGGCTTAGTGGTGCCCATGTTTGGTTTAGCTAGCTAGTCGGTTGATTGACTGATAGAGCACTGTGTAACTAGTGGTGCCCTGAGCAGCCAGTCTGGTATCCGCTACCGGAGGTTTAACGAGGACGGAAAGTTGAGACTCTCGCATGAGCTGAGAAGGGGTCATAGGGTAGGCGAGCCGACAAGGTATTGAGATCCAAACAAGGTGAATTGAACCAATGTATTGTAAGGTCTAAGGAGCGAGAGAGAGCTCTGGGCTGACTATATACTGTACGAGAAAGGAGTTAGTCCTAATGAGTGAATAGTGCAGTACATGGGTATAGTGTCGCGTGAGACACGTGCGACAGAAACTGCAAGATGGAGTTTGTCGCATTCCTGATCGGAAATCTTCCTTCCCTGAGCCACAACGGCTCCTACTGCCTTTACCATGGCACCTACTGCCATTTCCATAGCTCTTACTGCCTCTGGAGTCATAGATGTAAATAAATACTTTGCAGTAGAACACTGAGACTAGAACACAATTTTACGTCACTTCATCCGTTTCTTACATAGCTGCATGATCACGCAACCTCTATTTGCAACAGAGTTCGCTGGCAGGAATACATCAGGGTGGCAGCTAGGCATGACATAGAGCAGCTAGTTGTCATGGATTTAACCTTCATGACAACGGAATCACTACTAGCGTTGCCTGAACCCGGATCGGGTTCGGGCACGAGCCTCCCCATTGAAGTTCTTAGCTTGTTCTTCTTTCTTCAATATCTCCCTAATATGCACCCATCCTGAACGATTTCGAATCAAGTATTGCAAAAACTTGAGGGAAACTGTTTGGTCAAGCCCTCCACGTTTTCATAATCGCTATCTCACGTGTTTCAGAGTGAGCTGATCACACCCAAACTCATCAAGAATCTGAAAACTCGTATCTCAATAATAGCTAAATAATATAACCTAGAAATTTGTTGCCAAGCCTTCCTGTGCTTTTTAAGATACCTACTAAATTTTTAAAGGAACCGTATAAGAAATCTTAAGACACAAGATATTTGATGGTTAACTGGGACATGCCTCGAACTCTCCCTGAAGAGCCCTCAGCCCAGCCCCGGTCACATGAGATCCCGTCACGTGCCTCGGACTAAATAAATATTTTCTCAAACCTCTGAGTCTCCTCAAGGATTCGTCTATTAATACTATCATATGTCCTACTTCTGCGCTTCATACTTCTTGCATACAGTGCTCTCACAAGATATTAGCTTAACATTAAGGGCTGAAGCTAAATATTGTAAGAACAGGTAAGTCAATTGCCTTACAACTCTGGAATCACTCTTAGAGCATATAGAAAGAAATAATACTAAATTTCTAGGAACTTTTGTTTAGCTGTTCTTAAGATATCAAAGTGCGATTTTTCAGATTTTGGTGAGAGTTGGGCTGATAGCTCGCTTGAAACACATTCTCTTGAACTCAAGGTAAATGTTTGTATTTACGGAGCTCTCTAAGCTCCACTACCTGCTCGCATTCACCAATCACTGTATCCTACCCTAGTTACATGCTGCCTCCCTTAGCACCAGGGTTTGAGAGTCCATCGAACGATTCGAACCCGAAAGAGAAGCTTCAAAGTTTTAAGGCAAGAATATCCCAAACATGGTCAGTGTTCTTTTCAGAAACTATTGTCCTAGTAGAGGAAGTAATTTCTAGCAATCCAAGCTCTTAGGAAAGACGGTTTATCGAACGTACACAAGCCGTCGATATTGTAGGAACGGCGTTCCGCAACGGGATGGTTGGGAAGCAAATGTTGGTTTCATGCGAGTCTTCCATTTTCCGGCTTGATATTGTCACCATCGCTACGTGCTGTCGCTTACCCTCCTTCAGGAGTGGCGCCTCTCTTGTCTCCCTGAGGAATAGTACCACGTTTAACTCCTTGCGGAGTAATTTCGCACCTTGTCTCCTTGCAGACTGATGCTGCGCTTGTCTCCCTGAGGAGTGAGGTCACGCTCGTCTGCTACGGGGGAGACGATCCGCTTGATGCCAAGATGAGAGTTAATCTGCATACCTGTCGGGACAAGTCTCTCCGGTGGAACGAGTGAGGTGGGAACTTACGAAGGGGTTTCGAGCAACAACTGTAAAGCCCGGGACTCTATCGATGAGTGCAGGAGCAGCTGCAGTAGAGATGACCATATAGGCTACAACAAGGGTGATATGTCCAAGGATATCAGCGATTGATTATGAAAGATGAGCGGGAACTCCAGGCGAATGCGATGGTGAATGTTCAAAATGCAGAAAGTACGTTAGCCATTGCAATTCAAAACACCTTGCCATGACCGTACTCTCACTAACACTTCCCGTTCAGGACTAGTGTCGAGAATCACCTCGTAGGCAACGGTAGGCCACAGAACATGGAGCTCAGATATGGCCCTAGAATCGCGAGTCCTGTCCTACTCCTTGGAATGTACGACTGATATTTGGGAGCTTAACTAAATGGCATCTTTCGATATAAGATGTTTTCAACGCTTACAAACATCAGTCAAGTAAGGAGACAAGATGAGCACAGTTAGGAAGCCTTAGTTCTAGGCTCACCCTGACTTTGTGAAACATGATTCAGGAATGGCGACAGAATGAAATAAGAGGTCGTTACGAGAGCTGAGATGATGAAGGGCGCCAACACTCTTCTTCCCTTGGTGGGTTTGCGCGTATGATGGATATATCCGTGGGCTCTTACAGAGGTTGTGTTTGCAGTTACAGAGCTCTCAAGGCTCTAGTCACCTGACACTACTTTCACCTGCTACTGCCTAAGCAAGTGGTAGCCTTAGGTCACATGACAGGTTCACCTATTACTATATAAACCCGTAGTTGCCCTCCTTTAGCAATCAACCTAGTTCCTCATGCCTCTGGTGCTCCCCCTAGCTTCACAGGTTGGGTGCTGAATGTAGTGGAGCGGCTACGCAGTGAACGTCAGTATGGGTTGAGAACTTCCAAACCAGATTAGATGTAGAGCCGGTTTCGGACCCCCAAAATCTTCCTTGGCCACATGTACAGGCTAAGAATGTATAATTCATCCTTGCAGGTCTCTAACGAGCATGATCGTCATATCCATAGTGCCGCTGTGTCGGAGCGTTTATGAATTCGAGACAGACGTTTTGCGTTTTTAATAATTCTCAAAACGTCACTGCTAGTGAATACTTCAAGCAGTACACGTTAATCCTATACATGGTCCGGCTATGTAATCACACACCTTCCTAATCAACCAGGCTTGTTAGGGGGATATGGAGAGCGTTCAAACCCTAGGGTACGCTAATGCATGAATCCTCGTATAAACCGCTCACTAATTGGCGAAGGAGGGGCATTAGTGAAAGCTATACCGACGCCAACTTCTCGGGAGAGCGCATCTCCTGCTTCTAGCTATAGAGGCCATCCTCCGCAAGAGGAGAGTGTCAGTGACAAAGCACTCCGGTGCCTAGACGCACTCATCCGTACTGTCCTCAGTATACATCTAACTGTTCCTAATGTTCACTAATCATACCTCCTGTCCATTCTAATACTGCAATTAATCTCCACATTGCCTCATCCTCATTCGTTTTACCATGGATACCACGCAAACAAGGCGACTCCTCGAACCCCAGAAGAGATGCCGTGCGAAAAATCCCTTCGCTGCCAGAGGGGTTTCTCCTCGGATATAAAAAAGGCAAGTCGAAGAAGGCACGCTTGCTGTAACCTCCTTAGTTACCGCCGAAGATGATTTCTAGCTAAGAGCGGTCTTGTTTGATGGTAGAAGAAAGAGGTCGCGGGGTTACTCGTTTTCTTTTGAAGCCTAGTCGACGTTCTCTACACGCTAAAGGAGGCTAACGGAAATGTATAGTGAGTGAAGTTGCTTGCCTATCAGGTAGGCATTGTTCAGGGCGATCTTGAAGATTGGTGCCAGAAGTAGCACAGGAGCTAACATACATGCTAATTCGGGTGTCACTATAACCACACACTCTAGCATCGGCTGACTTGGAGGGGTTTCCTAGGAGATGTACGCTCGGCGTCAGACACGCCCCAGAATTCAGGACGGAGATCAATCAGGCATCTACGGCAGGTGAGTTCCCAAATGCAACCTCAACAACCATCCTTTGGTAACTCGCGCTCGGGCTTTTTAGGAGCAATTTCTCTCCCCAAGAACAACATGCTTTAGAAAATATGAGCTAGGTAAGATCTGCAATTTAGGTAGTCGGTGTGATTAACCTAGTTCGAATAGTAATGAGGTGATATAATATATCTCGATAGGTGCCCTCATTAAGTACTGAAACATCCTAGTGCCGAGTCATGGTAGCGTGTCTGAATCTATTTCAGTGCCATGGTGGCGTATGGTGTATGAATACTCTAGACTTTCCTGGTCCTTCGAAAAGGACAAGCTTCCGGCAATCGGAGGATAGCGGCCCGGTTTCAAGAGCTTCTCAAAAGCGAATACCGTTCAAGATTCTTGAAAGACCCCCTCCAAGCCAACATAAACTGGTATGAGAAGGGAGGACGCAGATCTTGCTCCGGATGAGTGCTAACGTGTTGATGGGCTTCGGTTGATATGGAGTCTGTTTCTAAATTTTTACTCTCATATTCAACAGTAAGTGGCAAGGCGTAGTACTTCCCACCATCCTATATGATGAGTCTGAAAAGACAAGTTACGCAACTAATATTCAGCCTTTCCAAATATAGACCAGGGCGTTTCAGTATACAATCACAGTCTCAAATTTTCCCTCTGCAGTGAAGCGAGGATACTTGTCGTGAGTTCACAAACACTTGCACGCAGCGCACAACAGAAGGCAACCAAGATAAAACAGCATCTCATGCACTAAACGGAAGTAAAGGGTGAGAAAGATGTGAGATAGTGATCTCATATAGTTCTGGTTTGGAAGGTTGCGAGCATGTGCCGTCAGGCCTTTGTGACGGGCTTCTGAATATGATTTCCAATATGGGAAATGGATCGCATTACAGCGGCCTCCACTCTCTCATTGACAAGAAAGTTTCAAGGCGGATGCCACCCATCATGCAGGCCAAAAACACCGAAATTGGGACTTTTGCTTAAAGACGAGAATATGGTGGTGTTGAGCAACAAGGTGAAGGCGGCGGATCGTGCGAATATGCTCCTACCAAAGGGCCTGAAGTCGTTTGCAGGCTAACTACACATTGATCCAAAAGATTTGACTGGCAAAAACTGACAGGCTGAGTGTGAAGGAATCCTCGGGATTTTTGGCTTGTTTACACCCAAATCTTTCACTCAGTCAGGTCTTCACCTCCAAACCCACCCCCACTTCTCTACTGCTTCTTCCAAACTACTGACAACTTCTTTCTTCAACGCCTATATAAATCCAAAAGAAATTGGTTACTGTAACAATATTATCAACTAGCGGAATGGACACAGTCCTGTTCTCCAACAACCCTAGTTCGATTCTCGCTCGCAGAAAGCAATCTGTAATTCTTCGGAGATCTAACCTATTTACGGATAGGTGGATTGAGTTGGTTGCACTCTATCTAGCGGCACGTATTGCTCTGGTCAACGATAGAACAATACAACAAAAGAAGAGAACGAAAGAAAAGAATGAGCGGTCTCAAATCATGATACTCCGAAGTACACCAGTGATGTGGTCAGGAGGTAGAGGGATTAAGTTGCCCGGCCTCACATCATGTACTTTGAAGCTCACCAATGATGTGGTCAGGAGGGAGAGGGATTAAGTTGCCCGGCCTCACATCATGTACTTTGAAGTTCGTTCACTAGTGATGTGGTCAGGAGGGAGAGGGATTAAGTTGCCCGGCCTCACATCACGGTGAATGAAGGGGTAGAGATGATTTGGGGAGGCGTGAAATGCGGACTGCGAGCAAATTTTTTTGGTAGGGTAAACAGCATTGGCGGGATAAACGGTGGATTCATCTTGGTGGCATAGAGCGAGGGAACAATTAAGAGTCTGCCAAGAGATGTCTCTTACATACATACATTCATTCAAAGTATTAGGCTGGTTAAGAGTTTAGCAGCCTCCAATTATACGCCGTCTCCCCATCTCAACCGCAAAGCCATAAGCTTACCATGAATTCCATTCGCAAACGCAGTAAGTTCAAATACCAAATGCTCACCTAGCATCCCAATGAAATACTCCAACACCTCCATGGCCCTGGCAAGCAGCATGGCACTCCAATCCGGCCTTGTCAGTACCGGCGTATCCTCCAATCGTCCGCACGTGCTAACAAGGTACCCTCTCTACCCTCTAACGCACCGTTCCAGCTAACCCTCTACCCCAGGCACCCTCCTGTCGCACGTGTCTCACGCGATACTATACCCATGTACTGCGCCATTCACTCATTAGGACTAGCTCCTTTTTCGTACAGTATATAGTCAGCCCAGAGCTCTTTCGAGTTCTTTAGACTTTATAATATACTGGTTCAATTCGCCTTGTTTAGACCTCAATACCTTGTTGACTCGCCTACCCTATGACCCCTACTCAGCTCATGCGAGACCTCCTGCAGTTCCTCGAATCCTTGGCCCCCGAACTCTCCATCATCCTACCTAATCTCAACGGCAGAGTCTTCTCCTGAGCACCTCACCAAGTGCAGGCAGATTTGGTGTACAAGTTCAAAAACCGTCGCCACCTTAAAGCAGGGCCCACCAAGATAACTTTGAGGAGATTTAAGCGTCCTTGCAAAACTTTTAGCTAATTAGAGCCCGAGAAGCCCCCCTAAGCGCTCCCCGCAGGTCTCCTGCTTGCCAGAGCCCTCATACCCCTCAAGAACCCCTATACAAACTTCCTAAAATGGTAATACAATTCGTACTACGTACCGTATCTAGGGCATCATTAAACGTACAGTACGGGTTACGAACTTAGTACGTTTGTACTGAACACGTGACCAACACGTGACTGTTATGGCTCACTTTGCACAGACTGTAGTACGGCCTGTTGGAAGCTCTAGATCTGCTAAAGCAGAAAGAAAGCGCAAGAACACATCTACAACGCATGGAGATCTAGGATAGTGCTGAGTCTGGTGAGCTTTGACGTAAAAGGGGCATACAACAGAGTATGCAAAGACAGGCTAACCCAGAGGCTCTGTGCTAGAGGGATACCACCAGGCCTAGTACAATAGATAGACGCCTTTTGCTCTAATTATACAGCAACTATTACAGTTAACAGCTACACGTCTAAGGAGAAACTGCTGCCCTAGGCAGAGCTCCTATAGAGATCCCCTCTTTCTCTAATTTTATTTCTCTTCTTTAACACTAATCTAGTCTAACACTAGATTAATGCTCTTAGCAGTTTATTTACTTTTATAAATAACTATAATACTTAAGTAATAAAACTTTTAGCTAAAAAAAATTACATAAAACTCTAAAACATTATTAAAAAAGTAATAAAGTAAAAGAAAAAAAAGTAAAGCAGCTTTTAAAAAAAATAAAACTACTTTAATCTACTTTATAAAAAATAAAAGTAAAACAAGTGTAAAACTAGTAAGTGTTAAAAAATAGCTAGTTAAACTAATAATAAAAGCTAAAATTTTAGGTGTTATTATAAATATAGGGCTAAGATATAAGCAGCACATAGTAAGGGCAGCAGCAAGGGGCCTAAGGGCAGCCCTAGCGCTAAGGCAGTTATAGATAGTCTCCTCTACTACAGCCTAGCAGCTTTTTAAGTTAATAGTAGCACTAGTAGTAGACTACACATTAAGTGTATAAATGCATGCTTATAGCATAATTTTAATAAAAGTAATAAATAGAATATAGAAAATAGAAGCTTAAGCTGTTACAGGCTACTTTTAGATAGTTACTGCAGTTATAGTAGAGGCAGAAGTAAGTCTATAGACAGTGCATAAACGCTATATAGTAAAGGCTATTAAGATGTAGATTAATATCTACACACTACTAAAAATAAACTCTATGTTAAAATTTTATATTATAAGCTTTTAACAGTTTTAATTACTGCTATAAAAAATTATAAAATAGCTAAAAAGGCTTAATACTAACTAGATAAAAATAATTAATTTATATAGTATATAGCTATAAAACTATTATATCTTAGTAATAATTAAACTAGACTAAGTAAAGGCTATAACACTAGCTAACTAGTATAATAGTATTAGAATTATAATAAGCGCATCTATCTAGCTTAGTATAGTAAAAATAAAAGGGGTAATAGACAACATATAGAGAAAAGTGCCTACTTAAGCTGCTACTTTATCTTTTACTTTAAAACCTAAAACAAAGGAAAACCTTTATATAGCAAAGCTAGCAGTAATAGTAGCAGCGCTAACCTCCCTCCTAACATGCTAGACAGTAGACTAGGTTATTATTCTTACTAGTAGCTAAGTAGCTATATAAGTAATACACTAACTATAGAATTAGTTTAGCTAAGCTAGCATTAAATAAATTTATAACATAACTTAAGCACTAAAGAAAAAGTAGTGCTTTATACATATAGTATAGTGCCTAGCAGAAAGTAATAATTTAGTAAAAAAAGCTAAAAAAGTAGTAAAAAAAGCTATAGTAAACAGCAGTGTGCTAACTAAACTTTTTTACTAAGCTAAGTTAACAGTAACTAGGACTATAGTAAGAAACTAAAAATAATAAAAAAACTTACTAATAAAAGTAAAAAAATACTTACATAAAATAAATATAGCTTTACTAAAAAAACACACTTAAAAGCTTTATAACACCTTAACTTATTAAAAAGTAAAAATACTAGTATAATTATAAACTAAAATAATATAGCTAAACACATACCTAAACTAAATAAAAGCTGTAGACTTAAATATATATATATATAGTTAAGTAAAAGAAACTATTTAGCACTTTTTTTTAATACTAAAAATAAAACACACTTTAAATATAAATACTTTAGTAAATAAAGACTAAAAAAGAAAACTTTTTTTTCTTTTTAAAAAAAAAGGCACTAGTAGACTTAGCAGAATAGTTACTAGACATTAACATAGTAAAAATAATAGTTAAGTATGTAATAGCAACAGGCTGCTTAGAGCAAGAAAGAAAATAGAAACCTAGAACTATAAAGATAATAGTAAAAAAAAGACACTTAATACTAACTTTATATAATAGTAGGCTTTACTTTACTTACTAATAAAAAAACTTTAAACACTTAAAAAAAAGACTTTAAGAACACTTACTATAAATTATAATTAAGGGGATATGTAACAACTACGCTAGATAGCAGAGTAGGAGGCATGTAAGAGCTATAAGGAGTTAAGCCATTACTAAGGAAGCGCTTAGGTAATAACGCACTAGTGCCCTCTAGGCTAGAGCCGGGCGTAATAAAGACATCATCATCAGAAAGAAAGCAAGAAATTAGGAACACAAGGAAATACGTCGTTAATATAAAGAAACGCCCGCTCTACTACTCCATGCTCTAGAATGCCATTAGAGTTTCGCGCGAGGTGCTTGGCACTAATATGCTAATAGTTAAAGAAGTAGAGGAGACTAAGAACGATCTCAAGGCCTAAGTAGCTAAGGGACTAAAGAAGCTAGACAATGTCACATCTACGTTCCAAATGTATCTAGACCTGTTTCTGAGGGATTTGTGGCTCTTCACACTTTATTCATATATTCAGAACTTTCAGTGGTGCCATACATAAAATGGTTCTTTGCAGAAAAATTGATATTCTGTAAATCCAAAAGATTTTCGTGTCGGGCCAAGCTCAATCATGGCTCTTTCTTCAAGGTGATATTTTGGGTCAATAAAACTCAACACAGCCATCTACAACATGAATCATTACAGAATTTCATGCAGGCAGCCCGAGATGCCGTCCCAGGATCCACGTCTGACCAGTCCACGTGGGCGGAGCCTCTGATTACCTAGACATTTTCCGGCCCAAACTAATCGTCAACAATAAATACATACCAATATAGCTTTTAGGGCCTCCTCTGACTAGAGCTGTCTAAAGGCGCCCTCTGTTAAGTCTTTCAAATCCACGAAAGGCAGTTCGGTGAACTATGGATTCCAGACTTACGGACACGAGGTAAGGCAGCCACGTGACAGCCTGCATGAGCCGACGAGGTATTATGAATTTCTCGCGTGGGCAGTCGAGGCTTCATGCTCTTGTGGTTTGTTTACGGATATACCAAGGGTTTATGGTACATCTCATTGCAATGATGGTATGCCAAGAATTCTGTAACTTGGGTTTACAAATAGCACCAGACACAGTGCCAGTAGATCGTTAACAGATTTGACGCAAAACTAGAGGTGCTGGAAGCAGAATAGGCTCAAGTTGCATATACAGAGAGCCCGATTATCACAATTGAACTGTGCGGCATGGTTTCCGGAGTAAGTTTAGCGGGAGTTTCGCAGGATTGCAGGGTGTCGCGTTGGATGGTCTATATTAAAGGAGCTGCATGCGCAGCATTCCACTCGCTCAGTAACTTTTATTGTGTCTTGCATTCCCAATCAAACCATTGATCTGAAGGTTAGTGGTCATGACAAGATCTGAGATCAATCTTCTTGTGCTACTATCTTCCATTGTCGCAATCGCTGCCTTCGCTACTACATTCACTCCGCCTCTAGCATCCAGGACACCATACCAATATGTAGCATTCCCTTCAAACCGCACGTTCGACTACGTAAGTTTGCACCACTTTGCCAACTGCTGAATGTAGGTGTTCTAATTCAACCAGGTCATAATTGGCGCCGGTCTCGCTGGGTTGACTGTTGCAGCCCGTCTGGCTGAAACCCCAGGCATCACAGTCGGCGTCATTGAAGCAGGTGACTTCTACGAAAATGTTAACGGCAACAAGTCTCGTGTCCCCGGATATGGCGGGTCAGCCTCCGCTCCTGGCGTCGATTGGGCGATACCACCGACGCCGCAGCCTCAACTCAACCGAAGCAACGTGACCAATTACCGCCAGGGCAAGTGCGTCGGTGGCAGTACAACTACAAACCTCATGGCTTATCATCGAAGTACAAAGGGTGCGTACGATCTCTGGGCATCTCTTGTTGGAGACACCGGGTACACGTTTTCCAACTTTCTCCCGTGGATGAGGAAGAGCGTGCACTTCACACCAGCGAATTCTGCTCTGCGAGCAAAGAATGCAAGTGTGCCGGCTGCGAAAGCAGAGTCATACGATAGGAATGGCGGTCCATTTCAGGTTACATTCGCGAATTGGGCGAATCCAGTGTCTTCCTACGCAGAACTTGGTTGGAAGGCGCTCGGTCTTTTTCCGCTACAGGATTTAACCAGCGGGACATTAATCGGGAATCAGTATTCTCCAATGGCCTTGAAGGCGAGTGATCAGTCAAGGAGCACATCGGCGTCTTCATTCCTCCAGTATGCAGTCAGCAGTGGCAGAAATAACTTGTTCATCTTCACGAACAGTATGGCGAGGCGCATCACATTCGACAACAACAAAAGAGCTCACTCTATAATTGCCCAGTCTAATGGACTCATCTTCGAGTTGAAAGCAAAGCAAGAGGTGGTGCTTTCAGCAGGTGTAATACACTCACCGCAGATTCTTCTGCTCTCTGGAATAGGGCCCTCTGAGACGCTGAATAAGTTTAACATACCCGTTGTAAAGGATCTTCCAGGAGTGGGCAAGAACTTACACGACCATCCTATCTTTCAATTCGTATACCAAGCCAATGCCGTGACTGGATCTTCTCTCTTTGATCCCGCTTTTGCTGATGCAGCTGCCAAAGAGTATGACAAGACACACACGGGTATCTTGACGCACAATATGGCGGATCACTTTGCCTGGGGTAAGATTCCTCTGAACCAGCTCAGCTCTCAGGCAAAAAGCGATCTCGCCAGTCTACCTGCAGATTGGCCACACTATGAGGTCGTTGTCGCAGACGTTGGCTTCGGACCAGGCAACTATGCCGAAGGAGTCGCTATGTTACAAGCCGTCACGTCGCGCGGCATAGTGTCAATATCTAGCACCAGTATCGATGACCCTCCGCTCTTAGACGTCAAAACTCTATCCACAGCCACGGACCTAGAAGTCGCAATAGGAACCTTCAAAACAATGCGACAGTTCTTCAACACTACTTCTTTGAGAAAGATTACGGGGGCGGAGGTTATTCCTGGGCCAGATGTGGTGACGGATGAGCAAATTCACGACTGGCTACTTCTAAGAATAAATCCTGGGTCCCATGGGTGCTGTACTTCGTCCATGGGAAAGTTAGGAGATATGAATGCCGTTGTTGATACAACCGCGAGAGTAATGGGTGTGAAGAACTTGAGGGTGGTTGATGCATCGGCCTTGCCGCTGCTGCCACCAGCACATCCGGTGTCCACACTGTGTAAGCAATCTGATCCCAATCCGTGCGTACTCTTACTAACTGGTTTGCATAGATGGGTTTGCAGAGAAGATTGCAGATGATATCAAGAAGAGCTACGTACCCTGGTGGAGGTAAGGTTAAAGTTATTATCATGATTCCAACTTCCTGTCCAAAGCACGGCCATTCATTGACTACGTAATCAGGGTACTTAAGAATGAATTGAAATGACCACCTTGATAATATAGTTGCTGGAGCTTTGACACAGTCCAGTCTAATTAGAGTGAGTGTCAACAATACTGTGTGAAGTCCCTTTTTGTGCACTCTCGTAAAGACAAATAAGCCAAGAATTTGTTCATCCTTCCGTATCAAAGATGTGCATATGCACTTTTATGCTTTGGAAAATGTTTTTTTTCGCTCTGTTAAGCAAAATTGCTTTTCTAACATAGATTGCCGAACTCTTCCGAGGCTAAAAACTACGCCCAGTAAGTTGCTTATTACGTGAGGCAGTTGTCTCGAAACCTTGACTCTAATCCCCTCGAGTCCGGCCTAAATCCTCCCGCAAATCCACCCCAGGTAATCTCTACATCACGAGCCATGGTCTCGTACAGCTTGAATTCAAATTTCCTAAACAAGCAAGCTAAAGTCAAGTGTAGCTCGGCACTAGCAAGATGAAGCCCAATGCACGCCCGTGTACGTCTGGAAAATGGAATGGCGTATTTTCTCATCCCCTCCGCTGGCATAAATCACCTATTTGGGTCGAACTTGGGCGGTTCTGGGAGGTAGACGGGGTCCAGGTGCATGAAGCGAGTGCTCATACTGACTGGCGCGGCTGCTAGAATGACCCAAGCACGGAATCAGAGAACTTCATCGGGCGTGATTCGGATAAGCCGAGTTGCGGTGGCAGCCTGTACATGATGTGCTTTAAAGATGGTCGCCCGGAGATATGGTAATTGTTCTAGTTTCTGCCAGCATGGGGGATTCAGGGGATCCGGAATGGCCTCGAAAAGCTCCATGGTGAGTTTTTTTAATGCATCGGGGTTATTCAGGGGATGTAATGTCAGTACTGCCAGTGTTTGGGGTGTTGTCTCGCCTCCAGCGCCAAAAAAAAAAATAAACCCTTCAATCCATTAGGCGTTCTACGGTTTTCTCTTACGTAGTAAATTGCTGTCACGGAGCTCCTAGATGATGGTCCAGATCGTCCGGTGGCTACTCTTCCGCTCATCAGGACTAGCTTAAATCGTTGCTTCCACTTCTTGCGCGATGTCTTTCTGGATCTTGGGAAAGAAGATTACTGGGGTGCTTACGGCTGCAGCGACAGCACCCGGCAAAGTCATCAAGACATCAGCCATCCACAGCAAGCGGCGGTTCACAATTCCGCAGTAATGCTCTGGATCCGGAGCTATTCGAGAATCCGCTCGAATTTGATGGGCTACGATTGCTGAGACTATGCGAACTTCTGGGCAATGAGAGCAAACATAACGTATGTGGGTTTTGATATTACAGGTCTTACTTCAGATTTGATCGGAGATTAACAACAGATATCTTGTGACAATAGGCCCCGATCAGCTACAGTGGGGAGTAGATACACACGGTTGCCCAGGCGTCTTCGCAAATTATAGAGTTAAGATGTTGCCTACGAAAATTCATACAGACTATGATGTGAAACTGGCTGGTAACGGAGAGCGACTAAGGGATCTTGCTACGGATATTCGTCCTATTCTAAATCCGGAGGGGAAGGCTAGGTTTAAGAAAAGGCAGATCTAAAATACTGTGGTGAGTGAATCATGGGTAAGGTGGTACTATCGAGTGTATATGGAATTCGAGGTATTCTGCGGAGCATTGCTTGTATGGAAGGTGGTGAGAAATCAATCTTCGTTCCTCATCGGATTCCATGTACACAATTAGCAAAATCAGATCTGAGCGCGTGGATCATTTAAGATAAGCATTGTGTTTGGCAAGCAATGTCAGCAGGCCAGAAATCGTGGAAAGGCCTATATGATACGTACCTAGAGTGCATCCAAATGGGGTGTCTCATTTAATCCGCTCTGTCTAAGCCCAACCCTTGGTTCCATCACGCTGCAAAGGGATGCAAAAACATGAAGAGGCGCGGGAGTGATTCAACCGAAGATACGGTATGCATGATCGAAATCTTCGAAGTTCGGCTGGGCCCCCGCAGATCGGACGTCGGTGGTACATTAACACTTACGGGTTTCTAGCGGTCGGGCCAGCAAGGCTGCAACTTGCCACAATCGATTAAGTGCTCGGAGCATCGGAAGAGAAGGTAGTGATTTGGCTGTGAAGATTTGACATTAAATTTCTCTAGTCTTTGAGCACACGGCATAAAAAGTTGACATTGTACTCGTTCAAGACTGAGACACTCGATTGTGACATAGTTTTCTACTGCATACTTTCCTCGTTTATATTTAGTCTACTATAGCATTTAATTAGACGTAGTCATCTTCCACAGGGCACAAAATGGCCTCCTGGACCTTGAGGTGCGTGGCTTCGACCTCACCTCCCAGCTGAGATATGGAATTAACACAATACTAGGTCTTCCACCAATTGGCCGAGTCTAGGACAGCCCACGACAGCACAGCTACACACGTTTCAAGAGATGGTCCGGCCAATACGGTCCGATATATAGTACGAACATCTTCGGTATTAATCACATTTGGTTCGCATCGGACAAAATCGCAAACGATGTACTCTCGAGGCGGCAGCCAGGGATCCAGATCTCCCAAGCACATATCAGTTAGAGGACAGTAACGAGACGCTGGAATATCTCCCTCTCCTTAGACAAAATGGTAAGTGGCCCTTGGCTCAATTTTCAACTCAGCAATTTCCACTAAAGACACGCTCTGATAAAACGTCCCATAGATCTATGGCGTCGTCAGCTAAGAATCGTGGCTCAACTCCTGTCCCAGTCAGCTGGAGGAATCTGTCGAGCGTGTATTTTATCCGCCTATATATATTCTTCTCCTGTGCTTAGTAGAAGGTTGACCTTTTGCCACTTGCAACAGAATCATCGAAACCTACCTTATCTAGAACGCTCTAAATTCCTTTCAGAGTTGCTCGACCGCCCCACCGACTACGAGAGTATTATGGGAAACTGCACAGGCCGCGATATTTCATGACTGGACCTCGGCGTTTCGGGTCACTATGCGGATATCAGGCAGTACTCTCGTGGACTTCTCAACGCTATTTCGCCTGCAGCTTATATTGCCAAAATTCTCCCACCCCTAAAGCCGCTACCTGCTTTCCTACCCCCTTGGAAGTGGATTGTAGCCCGCGGGGATGCGAAAGAGCGCTTTTTTTTTTTTTTTCATGCGCATGCCCACCGAAGTTACTGCAAGGATGGAGGCAGGAATAACACAACCGTCATACATGCAACATTTGTTAGAGAGTAAAGTTAGTACAGAACTGTCTGACATGGAATGTGCATACATAGTGGGTATGATAGGACTCGCAGGTGTGCCCACCATGTCCTCCGCCGTGCTGACCTATCTTCTCACTCTATCTCCACAGTGGCAGACACGGTTGCAAGCGGAAGTTGATATGGCTTGTGATGATAGAACGCCAGAGCTTTCTGACTCATTCCAGGTGCCAATATTGAGGGCTATCATCATGGAACTTCTTAGGTGGAGACCCATCACACTCAGCAGTAAGATTAATGTCCCGATCATGATCACCGATACATGCATTTACGTTGACTAGGCATCCCGCACGAATCCACAGAAGACAGTATCTACGACGGCCATTTATTCCAAAAGGCACGTATATCCACCCAAATCAATGGGCAATCACACGTGACGCGACCATGTAACCCTGGCCGTTTGCTCAATCCCCTTTACCCGTCGTACAAAGGGCCTCTGGGGGTATACCTATCCACCCGAAATTTCACCACGTTCGGGTACGGTCGCCAGGTTCGCATGGGCATGGATCTCGTGGAGAACGAGTTATTCGTCGCCATTTGGGGGGAGGGTGATGGCCTGGGCTGTTGAAATCTTTAAGCAAAGAGACTGTGATGGGGGAGAGACCACCGTTCCGCCGTATGAGTATTCGGCCTATCTGATAAGTAGGCCTAATAAGTTCGCGTTCGAGTTGAGGTTAAGGAGTGAAAGGAGGCGATTGCAGGTTCAAGATTTTTGTACAGCGGTGACTAGTCAAATAAAGTATATGTAGCTTATCTCCAGTTTTTGCCACAACTATAGTAAGAGCCTTAAGAAATAGACAGGCTACAAGCAATTGCAAATATTATACTAGGAAAGCTGCTTACTCTGTAGATTCCAGATATCTAAAGGTTACGGATTCGGGAGTAAAGGCAGCCCCAATCAAGACGATGGGAAGAGCGGACTCCTTCTCAAGTTCTCAAGTCAACAGCTGGAAATGCCCTCCTTACAGGCTCCCCGAAGCAATCAGAATGACTCAGATGTGGGACACGTTGCCGCGTGTTGTCTTCTAGATGACAGCCAAGCGAAGAAGTTAAAATATTCCGAGGCATCACGTGGCAGTGCGAGTCTGTGGCGCTGTGGCGCTGCCAGATGTTACAACATAAACGTCATTACCTGCGAACGTGGAAGCAACTTTTGCTCCCCTTCACCCCGGGTAGATAAAGAACACCAACAAAGCACTGCTTATGGCCCAAGGGCTTCATTATCTATAGCATTCCTTCTCACTTTCTTGGCGCACATTTTCCGCGCATCACCTTTTCCGAGTAACAGCTTCACGATACCCAATGTCAACACGACGCAAACCCTCCTACCCCTCCGCCGCTAACGGCCAACCCACTCCACTCACCTCCACCATGTCATCCTCACCGATACGAACTCCCTCCAATTCGCGCTCACCCTTCTTCCCCACCCGCCTTGAGGCGCTGCTCATATCCATCTACCCCGCGACGCTTGTCCTCGGTTCCATCTTCAGCATCCTCTCACCGGCCTCACGCAGCGCGCCCTACTCCGCAGCCTCGCAATCGCACCCACCAGAATTCGCACCCTCATATTTCGCACAGAAGAAGAACGTCTTCAACGTCTACTTCGTCAAGGTCGGGTGGTTCTGGACAACGCTCGCCTTCACCGTTTTTCTGATCTTCAACCCAGGGTTTGGGTCTGGGCTCAGCGTACGGCGTATTCGCGCCGGTTTGAGATATGCTAGCATTACGATGTGGTGGGTGGTCGTTACGCAGTGGTTCTTTGGTCCCCCGTTAATTGATCGCGGATTCCGATTCACTGGCGGGCAATGCGAGACCCTGCGAGATCCAGAGACTAGAGCTGGAATGAGCGATACGAGGGAATACTTCACGGCTGCTGCGTGTAAGGCCGTGGGCGGGACTTGGAAAGGCGGTCACGATATCTCTGGCCACGTCTTCTTGCTCATCCTCGGGTCCGGGCTCCTCTGGTTCGAAATTCTGCCTGCTCTCACCCGCGCCGAGGGCCTCCGGGATGGAAGAAGGATCCTACTATCTGACGGAAAGGTGGCACACGTGGCCGTGGAGAAAGACGAGGAAGCTGATAAAGAGAAACCGGCAAGAAAGGGTGTTAAGACTGCCCTCGGAGTCGCTGCACTCATGTGGTGGATGTTGCTGATGACGGCTGCGTACTTTCATACCTGGTTTGAGAAGTTTACCGGGTTGTTAGTTGCTTTTTCGGGGCTTTGGATAGTGTATTTTCTCCCCAGAGGTGTGCCGGGGTTGAGGGCTGTTTTGGGGATGCCGGGAGTTTGAGGACGAGACGGAGGTGACAGCATTTATGACGACCATGACTTGGTTGAGCATTGGGGTAATGTAACCTCACCTTAATTCTTTTAATCAACTCTTCTCCTGCACCATGATGTCCTGGTTTCCAAAATTTCCTTCCATACATCCATCTAGATTAGAAGAATGATATTGCCCAAGCCAACCTCCTCCACATCGATTACATACTGTACGCGGTAAAGATTTTCTGCGATATCCATCTATGATAATTCTGCACCACCAAAATGTATATTGATCACGTGATCTCCATTGATTTTCCCACAGCCCTTGCCTACTTAGGTATATAAACCCCTAAATCATCCATGATCTCCTTCCTTCCTCAATACGTCACTGTTGGAGCTGCAGGCTTTATCAAAACTCTAATATACACACCCCATGTGGTCTTAGAGTAGTTGGAAAAATTTCTGCATGTAAACGAGTTTCTAAGGCGGACAAGAAGATACATCTTTCCGGGGCTGCGCCCAAAAAATACCCCTATTCTTCAGTCAGATTTATGCTGAGATTCGCCCCGGACATCAAGAAAACGAACATGAAGCACTCTAGAAACTACCAGGATTTTACTCTATTTAGAACTCCTACCTGCGCCTCCATATATAGACATCACTTCGCTCTGTGTTTGGGCTTCGTCACATTTCCATATCTTGGGGTTCCGAGTGGTTAAAATATTTTGTCTCGTTACCAACTGATGTAGCCTTCCACGAGTCGAAAACTGTACATGTTTCGAGACATGGCCCCCTGTCTGCCTAGCGGTAAATTTGGACTCCATCCTAAGATAATTCGTTTCAAAAACAAGTGGAAGCAGACACCGTGCTCCAGGGAATCCCTCGTAGCCTTCAAAAATGCATATGATAATTCAAATCATAGACTATCACTCGACGTCTCCGCTTAAGCACTTACCTCCTACTGCCTTTAAATATCTCTCAGGGTTGCTTACATCCTTCTTGCACAAGTACACACCTCTGGAACTCCGGGTCCCACATCCAAACTGATTCGAGATCTCGCCAAGGGTTGGTGGAAACTCAAAACTATATCACACTATAAAATAGCTCCAGATCTCTCCAGATTCACCTCCAAAAATAATTAGAGGGAGTCGATGATGTTCCATGTTCTGTTACGAATTCAGAAATAAATCGAAGACTGTCAGGCCTCAGGATCCCTAGCAAGTAGAAGCAAAATAACACTCATGATCCCTGCTCAGTTCCTTTCAAGTATTGTCAAATGCAGCCCTTTACATACAAAACGTAGTTACTTTGGAGATATATGTAAACAAAAATCCGATCACAACAGCCCTAGGTCCCGGACAAATTACAAAAATATTACCGCCGAGCTGCGTGGTGCCTTCCGAAACGGAGAGCAACTTATTGTATCCTGTCCTAGGTCTGCTTTTCGAGCTTCGAAATATACCACAACAGGTCAAATGGACCTGAACTTGAACAACAACTTAGGGGGGGGATATGTGTGGATCAAGCATCATTTAGTGACGAGTGTAGTGACTGCTTCTAGAGGATTTCTCCTGGTCCAAGATTCCCTAGATATAAGAAGCGTCCTGTACACCCGATTGCTCTTTCCTCGTACATTCGGTACCATGAATCTGTGGGCGGCAATAGAATTATGAAGGCCCAAGCAATGCTGCTCCATGAAAATATTCGGCTATAACTCCGCATCTACCTAAGAGACCCAAAAGGTGATATCAGACTCGGCACCCGTCTCTAATAAAAGTCCTGAAAGCCAACCCATATGCTGCCTCGACTATGTTTTCGGGCATAAAACGATTTATTTTTGTTGAATGGGCTCTTTTAGCTAGCTGCTTATGGTATAAGCACTCAAGTAGCAAGAGTAAGAGTAGTGTACGGTGTGCACAGCGTACGGAGTAGGTAGGGTGGGCAACAGATTTCTGGTCATTGCTTGTCTTCTCTCTTGCGTACAGATGAAAAGGAGAATATCTACATGTTCGCGCACGAGCGTCACGTGACATAGTTACGTGATCCTTCTCGCGCGATAACTAGTTGTTTGCAATGATGACACTCGGATGCATCGTCAGCATAGTCAAATGATAGTCAGATGTGTCGGATGTGTCGTCACACGATGGTCGGATGCATCGGCAGATGCATCAGCACCATATTCTGTTGCCAAGACCCACCCACTTATTTCGCATATATATAAGACTCCTGCAAAGGACTCCTCGAGCAATACATTCAATGCAGTTCCTCATGTCTCTGGTGCCTCACATAGCTTCACACTAGTATCCAGACCGTAGCGCTGCTGCTGCGTACGGACAATTTTCTTAGTAGACAAAAAGCAATACACACAAACCTCACCCCAAAAAGAAATGTCCTATTTGCTATCCCAGGGCAAAGTACGCTGCATCTGAAGCTGCGTAGACTAAGTTATGCTGGCTACTGTGCTCTCGGAGAGAAATCTAGTAATCCACCAAACATGGAAGGGGGAGTAGTATGGCCCTCACTCGGATTTCCAACTACCGACTGGGTTCTCTATGCACCCTTCCGGAGATTCTAAAAACAATGGCCGGGAACGATGAACTGACGGAGAATGAAGAAAAACCAAGCTTAATCACGTCATCAAACTTGACTCAATAAACTTTGCAAGGGTCTGTCCAAGGTAGCAGCGGTACAAGAAATGCCGAGGAGGACTAATGGCACCGAGCCGCTGATTCAAGGTCGAAGAACCGCGTGTCCACAAAACATCATCAGAACATTCACTGTGGCTGCGGAACTATATAAAGTCTTCGATGGTCACTCTTGGGACCTTCTTTCCTTACCCTTGCATCAAGACGGATTCAGGAATTCTAAAAATCGACATAGAGCCCAGCGATATGTGATGTGGAATTCGACTTATTCATGAAATCGTGGAGGCCGCGAAAAACGCGCAGGATATCTTGTCATGTCTCATAAATCTTGGAGTGCAAGACTGAATTAGAAATGAGACCGGCTTCGAGAAGAAATAGTAGACCAAAAAAAAAGACTACAGCTTCCAACTTAAAAAAAGACCGTGAGGCGCGGTTAGAAATTTGATTGTTATCGCCACAAAAGATACCATTTGACGAAGGCATTAAGGTTTGAGGATTCATAGAGTAGGCCCAGCTGGACAGGGATGCGGGAAGAGAGGGCGTAATGCGGCGGTATTTACTGTAGATGAAGAGTATCATCGTGATATGTCATGTAATCGGTCACCACAGCTGCAGAAACACTGATATGGCAAGTTGCCCACCAGGGTCGGAAAGATCGGGGGAGTTTGTGAGACTACGCTTTAATGCCCCAACATGTCAACAACGAGACATGAGGGTCGTGGTTTTGTGTGAGCTGTGACATCTTAGCATTTACTAGAGGGCTGCTTTCTCCAGACCTTTCGTCTCCGAGCTCCTAGTTTCTCACGTAAGCAGCCTCGCTGCAAAACCACGATCTTCCCATTGGCTGCATGTGGCCTTTCAGAGTGTGGATTAAGGCCAACAAGCTAAACTCTGACGGATCAGTCAGCAGGCGCTGTGGGCTGCTTTTAAAGCTCAGGTGTTAGGCGCCAACATAAGACTAGTGGATTTGCCGCTTCTCATCACCAAAGCATCCTTTGAAATGAAATCCTTCTCTGTGACACCGTCTGAAGGCCTCGTAATCACCGGCCTTGCGTCAATTCCACCACCTTCGCCGATACTTAGTAGCCATCGTCCGTTGGTAGTATTCCTCCATGGTGGAAGCTATGCGTCAGACTACTACGATTCAGATCCGGAAAGGTCGATCGAGCCTCTCAGCACCACTCTAGGCATTCCCGTCATCTCTCTCAATCGACAGGGCTACAAGGACAGTACGCTACCAGTTATTTCGGAAGGCCAGACTTCCTTAAGGGAGCAGTCCAAAAATTTGCATACCTCGATCTTGCCAGCCATCTGGGAGGATTTTGGCAAACCGGCAGGAGCATCATCTATCGTCTTAGCTGGACACTCGATCGGCGGAATGATTGGTGTCATGGTTGCAGCCCTTTACGCTACTTCATCATCACCGAGGGGCTACCCTCTCTCTGGACTTTGTACGACGGGAATCACAGACCGGGCGAACCCGCGATGGAACGGTGTGGAGCCCCCACCGCTTCCGCAGACGGGGAAGCATTTTAATTGGCCGGACGAGGTTCGAGACGCCATGATGTTGAATGGGCAAGTCAGCGCAGACTTCGCCACCACTCATTCGAAGCTGAATAATCCGGCGCCAGTCGATGAGGTTATAGAAGCGACATCCAGGATAAACGAATGGAGGGTGTGTGCGAAGGATGTTGAAGTCCCGGTTCTTGGTTTAGCAGCGGAGCATGATGCGTTGTGGGACACGTCGAAGGCGGCCATGGATGACTTCGCCAGGCTCTTTGAGAAGACGACTGCAGAGATTGGTATCGTCACAAATGCACCCCATTGCCTAGAGATTAGCTACCAGGCAAGGCCAGCGTTCCTAAAGGTACTAGGACACGCAGTGCAATGTGCTAGAGCTCATGGCATGGAGAAGGAAAGTGAGAAGGAGATGAAGTGAATTTAGGGAAAGGAGCTACAATGGTGGCCAGGTTCGCCTTCCAGGTTTTTGCGCCGCTTGACTTAACTTGTCAATACCCCTGCTGCATAGGGCCGGGTACTTTACCCTTCGGAGCTAGCTCTAGTCAAGTGAAATCATCTCCTCGAGTTCATTTCCGATGTGTAGTTTTCAAAGGCGCTTATAACGTCATTTCCGCGTTTCAGCTTCGTATGCACTGTATTTCTCCGCCTTTTGCCGCGACCCGCTGAAACGCGCGGAAATGACTTTATAAGCGCCTTCAAAAATTACACATCGGAAATAAACTCTAGGAGGTGGCTTCATTAGACTGGAGCTAGCTCTAGAATGGTAAAGTGCCGGGCCCCATCCAACAGGGGCATTGACGAGTCAAAGTCGAGCGACGCCATGGCGTAATCACGAGTATCGGTCTCAAAGAGACCTCCACTAGAACCTGTCTCCTGTTCCACCGCTAACAGCATCGAAGCAAAGTGTTTTCGACAGGCCGCTGTCGTCGTTGAATGATCTTCCCCTAGTTGACTTTCAAATCCTGAGCTTGCTCTTTTATACAATCTTGTAGATTCATCATATTGCTGGACGATCGCTAGGAGGTGTGCAAGGCAGTATAAGCTTAAGAGCGTGTCAGGATGATCCGGCCCAAGCTTGCCTTCTCTCTCCGCCAGCGCATTCCGGTGCATCTTCTCTGCCTCTTTGTGCATTCCTTGGTCAATATACGTCGACGCCAAGTTGGCCATGCTGGTCAGCGTGTCTAGATGGTCGTCGCCAAGCACGTTATTGCTTGTCTCCATTACTTGCACCTCTAGCTCTTCCTCCTCCTTCCATCACCCTTGATTCCTGTACGTCGACGCCAGGTTGGCCATGCTGGTCGGCGCGGAAGGGTGGTCGTCGCCAAGCACCCTTTTTGTTGCTTCCAGTGCTCGCTGGTGCATTGCTTCAGCCTCTTTGTACTTGCCTTGCCAAAACAACATGAGCCCAATATTATTGAGACTGTTTAATGTATCTGGGTGCTCTGCTCCCACAGTGGCCTTCCTCGCTTCCAAGGCGCGGACACCCATTTCCCAAGCTGCTTGGTAATTTCCTATTTCACTTGCATACCATGCAGCCTTGAAAAGTGTTGATGCCCAAGCCTCCAGCTTGTCATTAGTTGGTCTGGCGTCTACTATAACTTGAGCATGTGGAAACAGTGCTTGACACACCACCCAGTTCTCGTACCGTCCCACCGGGTAGCTTTCATCCATGAGCGTTACGTACTTCTCCTTCCATACTTCCAGCTCTTTGTTTGACTCTAACCATCTCTTCGTTGACAACTGCACCAGCCGATGCATCTCGATCTGGCTTCTGCTTAAGTTAGTTGAAGCCAAAGAGAAATTTAACAGCATGGTCAAATCATCCTCAAAATCTAACTGGTCATCGTCTGCTTCTCCGTAGTGGGCGCTCAGCAGAGGCTCAGGAATTCCCTGCCGGTCGAATAGACTCATCAGCGATAGCAGACGCGTTGCCGAAGGCCTCGCTCTGCGGATGTACTCGAATGAAATCTGCCAGGTGGCTATGATCGAATTCAACGCTTTGCCGTCTCTACGCATGTCGCCAAGGTCCGAATCTAGCAGTTTTGCTCGATCTCGATCACCTTGGCCGAATTTCTGCACATATTTAGCCACTGTCGCCCTCGGTGCTCTCTGATTAATATAAACGGCTGCCTGTGTGATGGCAAGAGGCATATAATCTAGCGCTTCGATTCATGCTACTGCATCGTCCTGTTCATAGCCCCCCAGAAGCTTCTTTCTGACTAAAGCCAGAGCATGCTCTTGATCCATTCGATCCACTTTCACGATGTCCCCATAGCTTCCAGTCAGTCGAAAGGCTGCATCTCGGCTTCGTGAGATAAAAAGAGTCGATCTATTCGGCGACTGCGGTAGGAGCTCTGAGAGTGGCACAATTGGTTGATCCAGTGGGGCGGAGGGATACATCTGAAGTGTATTGAGTGGTGAGGAGAAGACTCCTACATCGTCAGCGTTATCAACAATCATTTTCCATAACCGGTTTGACTCATCGGAAAGCCAGATATAGACGAGCCGTAGAATATCCGCTTTCTTATTATCCCAACCATCCATCCTCACTACTTCAGCGATTCTACGGTAGCCCTCTTCAAACCGCGCTCGTGTCCCTGTGTGCACCCAGAACACCCATGTTAGCGGTGATTGGTCTCGGGTGCGGTAGGCATGTTCGATCGCGAGCTGAGATTTTCCCACCCCTCCCAGTCCAACAAGCGCTGCGCGACCAGCCGGTTGTGAGCATCGTTTGTCAATCTGTGAGAGAAGGTCGCCGCGGTCGACGAAGTCGGGGTCGCGTCGGAAGGGGATGGTGAAGAGTGGTTTCTGCGGTATTTTTGGGGAGCTAACTAGGCAAGACATTAGCAATATAAATAAAGCAAATGACGCAACATTGACTGTACGCGTACTTCTATCCTTGCTGTGACAGTCTGATGCTTCGTTGATCTTTTTTTTTAAGCCGACAGACTGCGCTGTCTCTCCCTTCACCATATATGAGCGGCATTGAGGTACCAAAAATACCCAGTAGAGAGTAAGCCCCACTTAAACCGCTCCTCAACGCTAAACTGAGATAAAGATGTGCCATGGAGTGCTAGAACAGCAATACCCGTGATCTCATGGATCTTCTGGCTTAGAGATATCTTGTCACCGAGCCTCTTGCGCTCCCTCGAGAAAAATTCGACCAAGCTAGGAGCAAGCAGCTCTTGGAGAGTCCAACCGCGCAAAAACCATTCACTAGCCCGGAAAGCAGATTCCCACATACTCTGCGCATCTATATCTGCTCTACTCCACTCAGTTGTAGAGACATCTGACAGATATACATAGCATCTTGCTGCACGGCTGTACTAGCGGTACATGGAGTTGACCGCTTCAGAAAGTTCGGCATCACTCGATTTCCTGATGCAGAATCAGTCACCAGCGCGGAATCATCAGAGACTATGGGTATTCTATCCTACTCTGCGGCTCTGCCCGCTCAACTAACGTGTTTCACCACTCATCCGCCAGCTCCAAAAACCACCAAAAATCGCAAAAATCGACCCTTGCAAACTCAACAAAACGCACGCAATAAAACCTACAAATCTAATTGTAGCCTTTTCTGCTCATTTTTAAGCTCTTGCTACGATTCTAGACGAATTGGCTAGTACAGCATCGAGATATTAATATTTCATGAAGTTTTGGCCCCCAAATCACTGGATCTCAAGATTTACGAAACCAAGTGTTTATTGACTTCAACTAGAGTCTTGAAATGAGTAGAAAAGGCTACAATTAGATTTCTAAGTTTTATCATGCGCGCGTTGTTAAATTTGCAAGGGTCGGTTTTTGCGATTTTTGGTGGTTTTTGGGGCTGGCGGATGAGTGGTGAATCACGTTATCCTGAGCGCTTACTCAGCCGCGTTATCTTTTCTCTGTACAGTATTGTAACATTACCCCTGTTCAGGGTACCCTGGCTCATGGTCGAAGGTGGAATAGAAGACGTACGCCCGATTAAACGATCCAGGCTCCCTCCCTCCGAAGCCAATCAATCAATCATCTCCACACAATCTCGTCCTTGACCAGCTCATTCTGCTCTTTTACCTTCGCCGATAAGGCAATGAGGGTCCTAGCGTATCTTCTTACGTCGTCGGGCATATTGCCACAAGATGAGGGAACTACACGGATTTTGTTCGGCACCTGGGTGACGAATGACGACGATGAGGCTCATCTGCAGGTCTTTGTTAGAATCATATCTAAACTAGAGAAAGGTGAGCAGCCTGCCATTTTACTTTCTATAGCGGCTAACCTCTATCCTAGTATCGCTTAATACCTTACGTACAGCCCTTCCTTTTAAGTGGAACGAAAATGAACCCTATGATACGGTAAATCCCTTCGGAGATATTCGAGGTATTGATTTCCACGCACTCTGGACCTTCAATTTAGATGATGGTATACTCCTTCAAACAAATCGTTATCATCGACGCCGAATACCTCTTTCGTGTCTCCGAAATGGCCTTATAACCCTCGCTAGTATGGAATATCTTGGCCCGCCTGTTCCTCTACGTTCGAATCCGACGCATAGTCTGACAACACCTTGCTGGAGACCACAGGTGCTGATCGACAAAAGGACTCGCGAATTTACACATCGAATCTTACGCGATTTTGACCGACAGTGGAGGCATATTCTTAGAAATAGCTATAATGCTATTACTCTACGGGTACTTGCACGGGCTCTCCTCTTGCTTTCAAAGCTTGACTTTGACATCTATGAAGAGACGAAGCAGCGACATGGTCGAAGAGGCAGCCATGTCTGGATTACACAACTACCGACATGGAGACCGTTGGAAGCTGGTATTGTCTGCTTTGGTAAAGTCCACGCCGTGGTATGTCACTCGATCCAGGAAGGGATATCAATAGTCCAAAAGCACGCAACATCTCTGGAATCTATAGCCACCAACCCGTACATGATCCTGTCTATTAAGCATATTATGTTATGCCGCGCTACTAGTCCGAACGTATTCGAGTATACTGCACCGGAGCGGCTGTTCAATGGCAATCCTGATACCGAGCCTCCGTCCACTCTAGCGCTGGATTACCTTATCTGGGCTGTAACGCCGTCCGTTCGCCCTAATAGTACCCGCCTTCACTTACTACCTATAGAGATTCAGGATAATATTCTGAAATATGTGTCTGCAGGGTCAGTAGCTGCTGCAAAAATCGGGTGTTTGCTTGGCGTAGGGTCTGTATTTCAGTGGAAAGATGGCGTCTTGAATATTTCGTTAGAGGAAACGTGGACGAACCGCACCCCTTGGTCCCCCGTCGAGTCTCAACTCTGGTTTTCTAAGAGTGAGATTGGTTTAGTGTACAGAGGGAGGAGCTAGGCGCCATTCTGAATCAGAAGTTCTATAATTAATGTGAAATAAGCTTTAATTGCCTTCATGTAGAACTAACGCTTCAAACCTCAGGTTTGAATAGTGGTAGTGGGTGCTTCTTTAAGTATCCGCACATGTTCATGACCGCTTCAACCTAATGCACAAAGTGCAGACGATCAGCCATCCTTATAAGCTCGCTGTCCTTTGCCTTATAAAATTCCATTTCTTCCCCAACTTGAGTGATGGCGTAAACTTGCTTCGACTCAACCTCTGTGCCAGCGCAATGTCTGCCTAGCTGCTCCACTGCTGCAGACCAGGATCCACCCTTCTTCTTACTCTCAACTAAACAGTAATCGTACGTATAGAGGCTGCCTCCAGGACGAGCAACAAGCTTAAGCACTGCCATATCTGGCTTCGATTCATTCTGATCCAATTCGCCTCGTGACTCCTCTTGATAAATCCCCCAGCTATCCCTATCCGGGAAACAGAACCATAGGATCTCTACTATAGCCCTCCTATATATAGACTCATGAGCTTCAGGGGCAACTTGAATATCCCTAACAGCCGCTTTCATAAGGGGCACATCTAGGTACGTAGCAAGCGGCGCCGGGTTGGGGTCGTTACGTGTGATGCGCCCAGTTCGATTGTTCCTCATACACATATAAGCTGCCGTTAATGGTTCCAGCCGACCTAAGTTCGACCTGGAGTACAGTAAACTTACCACTGAGGCTAAGATTTGGATGTATCCTGTGTCCATGTATCCTAAGATGACTTAGTCTGGGCTATCTCAATAGGCCGCGTATAATAATACCTGATCAGAATCCTCGTAGCCAACCGGAACGTCCAACTGTGTTCCCCCATAATACAGGTCCTCATAGTAGTCCTGTCCAGCCGCATTTGCACATTGCTTGAATTGACCGCCCACGAGGACTCCGAGTTCGTATCGCACGTGTGTACGCATTTTCAAAACTACCGAGGGAAATTGAGTTGAATGATTTGAGGAAGTCCGGTTTGTCGATATAATATACCTTATGTACTCGGCAGAGTTGAAGGGTAACCGCCGCCCGAAGTATCAGTGAATGTCAAAGTGGTCCAAGCTCGTCGCGTTGCCTGACGAACCAATGAGTGAAGCGGGCATGACGTCCAAAACAACACAGGCTGCCTGCCATCGCCATCCGACGTCCAACTCAGCACTTTGTGGGGTGCGCATCCTCCATCCTTCCTCGTAACCCCCTGTCGTTTTTTTCCTCTCCTCACTCCTCCTCTTCCCTCCTTGCAGCATGGCACCGCCGAAGATAACCAGCCGCGCCGAGCCCACTGTCGTCACAAATGGCCTACCAACAGCTCCAATCCGGATGTCTCGACTGCCCTCTAGCCTTCGCATCCTGATACTCGTGGTCTTGAGCTTGGGCATAAGGTCTACGGTCTTGTCCGCCGCGACAAACTTCCTGGGCGAGGAACTGGGGAAGATCAGCCGGAAGGAGGCTGACATCTACCATGTGGCTGGCTTTCTCACTTATAAGATCCTCGTGCTCTTGGTTGGCTGGTTCCTACACTACGACTGTACGTCTCCTGGCGTGTTCACATCATTCCTGCGCGCTCTTAGCTAATGTACTCCAGTCCTCGACATCTCCAGCCTTACCCTTGTAGCCAACGCTCCGCTCGCCTATCTCCTTACCACCTACTACCAAATCTCAACCCTCACCATTAGCGCTAATGTGGTCGCCGAGATCATCTCCATTGCGCTTCCAACGTACCTGCTCCGCCCGCGCTCCGACGTCCATAACCCGAATGCCCCGCTCCCAAATCGCTTCCTGTTGAACAGCTTCCAAGTTCAAACATCGACCGGAATCATGTCTGTTGGGGTATACGTGGCTGTGATATGGATCGCGTTGCAGGCGCAGCAACTGAACGAATTCTTGGTCTCTCATTTTGAAATCCCAACTCTCGAGCTAGCACATAAGGAAACACCCATCACCTTGATCGCTAAGATGCTGCCTGTAGGTATCGCCGCGAAAGGCTTCCTGCTCAATCCTTCAATTGGCGCCCAGCCGGCCTCCGGAGCCGCTACACCGGTTGTGCCATTCGACCCCGCGAGTGCCACTCTGCCAGAGACGCTTAGATATAATTTCTGGTTTTGGAGCAAGCGCACGAAGACGCTAGTCCGACAAACAGTAGTTTTAAGTATCTTCATCCTGGCGAATACTATTCAGAGGACTCTTACGATTCGTGGAACAGACCCCAGTGGAGCCGTAGGATACGCGAGCATCTGGATATTGGCGACTATGATCTGCGCGGGATGGTCTTGTTGGGTGGCTGACACTGAATCATAATAGTGGATATCACATGACTTACAAACACCGGATGACTGGTAAATGGGCCATGGCCTGACACACAATGCGATACTAAGGGTTGGACGAAGACATGTTTGGAAGGCCGCTACTTGAGATATCAAGTCTTGGTGTTGGCAGCGGCATTTTCTGGAGTTTCCATTCCTGTTCACAGGATAGCACCATTTTTAGGGGTTCTTCATCGTGCTGGACAAAGGATGGAGGTAATGCAATGTATTGAGTAGATTGTTGGACAGACTAGATACCACCTTTTTCATTTGATGCCTAGGTAGCTTGAGAACACTTGATTTAGACTACGGGTGAGGGTCAGTTCTTGTTTGAACTCTGAGGTAAACATAGTGCCCCAACGTTTGGTGAAGTTTCTGTACATCAACGACATGAGAGCGTTACAACAGCAAGCATTCATAGCAGGTCTGAGTCACACCAGCGAATTTTGTAAGTTCTGCTCTGCAGCGGCCCGAAGACCTTAGTTTCTGCTTCTAATGATAAAATTTTTAATGCGCTACAGTCATTTCTCTCGGCAAGCTTCCAAAGAATCGAAAAGAAAATCAAGCATATCAACATCGCTGTATCAAGAAACAGTAACTACCACAAACAAACTGGACGACAACTGACTGAGGGCTCAGGACCTTTCTAATCGCAACGTGAGTGCCACAAGGGATCGCTCTAACGAGAGCGGATTGTAGTGTTTAGCCCTATGACCGGCAGAATTTGTGGGGACTATATCCGAATAAGCATTTAACGTTACTCTGGCAGGTGCTGATGAGAAATACACACTGGATTGCAGCATTGGCAGTCAGAGCACATAAGTCTGAGGAATAGGGTGTAGCGTTTTCGGATCCCGACTGACCTCAACGCTCTCAATAATCGCATCCACGCACATGAACAAGCTCTTTGTGAGACAAAAGAGCGCGTTGCTTAACATCCTCGTTGAATATGTGCAACCATGGGACTTCTCAGATTCCCATAGAACTGTGGTGATGACAAAGTGGTCCGTGCAGTCGCCACTGACGTAACGCCTAGTCCATTACCACCTACACGCACATGTTCCGCGTGCAGTCAGAAGCCTCCACTCACAACCCTTACCAATCCTCTCTTAAAACATCTAAACCCAGATTTTAGCAACCTCTAGTGGGATCTAGCATCCGGCTTGGCCGGAAGTGTGCCACAGCTTGGAGCTGATAAACGGGTCAGATTCGTACGAAGAAAGGAAGGTTGATTGAGGATAGGAGGTAGAGGGTGGGTGAGTGGTTGGGATAAGCTAGAGCTAAGGAATGATCAGCGGGTGTATTGCGCCTCCCCAGAGGTTGAGGCAGGATCTGCTAGAATTATAATGCGACTGCCACCGCTGCAACCACACATCTCTGTGCACTCTTGGCGTCTGTCTGATTCTTTGCTTTGCTCTCAGCTCCACGCAACGCTCCCCCCAGTTGGCCTTTTCATCCTCCCATTTTCTCTAAAAGGCGTCAAACATCCTGGTATTACTTGATCGATAGTCATCGGTATTACATCCCGACTTATCCCACTCCTAGTACGCATCTCGAAGCTCCATACCTGAACACCTTAATCAGATCATCAGACAAGATGGTGGTGATATGGGGTCTTGACTTGAAAGAGATGCAGTGGGGGAAGTTCAAGTCGAGCTACATGTGGAACAACGAGTACCACCTCCGCCGGACCAAGTTCATCGTCTACCAATGCGCCATGATATTCTGCGTTGTCAGTGAGTCGCTTGGGACGGCTGCTCTTTCTGGTACATTGCTTCCCCACTCTGATATCCCCCCCTGTCTTCTAGATCTAGATAGTCTTGCAATTAGAGAGTAGATATTAACGAGCGTTACTCTTAGACTACGTCGACCAACAAGATTTCGTCTCGGCCCACAGCCCGGGCGCTACCGTCCATAACAACAACTTCACTGGCATTGCGTCCTACAACATCTTCGTCGGCATTTACGTAGCCACTATCTTCGGCTCGGCCTTCTTCTTTGACCTCTTCTGGCCCGAACGCCATGAATCGTACAGGGTCAAGATTGCTTGGCGCGTGTGTTCTATACTTGCCTGCTTATTCACACTTTCCGCGGCACTAACTTTCACCATAATATTGGCGATGAGGAGCGCATATGTGACGGGCACGGATGCAAATACAGCCGAAAGGTTGCTAAGGGAGTATGGCGGGAGTCCGATGAAGTATCGAGATAACGGACGAGGGATTGCCAGTGTGGTGTTTTTGTGGCCAGGGATGGTGGCAACGGTTGCTAGGTACGCTTTTCAAACCCTCAGCCCTTCTCTTTACTCCTATATCCTCCACAAATTTTAGGTGTTAACGAAGGTGATACAGCACACTCCTCCTCTGGCACTCCCTCTCCCACATTGACGCATACGGACCCAGGTCCGCACACACCCGCACCCGCGACGATATTATCAATGGCCCTGATGGGTCGAATGAGAAGTCTCCTGAAAATGGCAGTGAGGCGCTGTTAGAGAACGAGGTCAGGGCGCCAGAGCCAGCGCATGCTAGATCTGAGGGAGTGCATGATCAGAATGAGAGTGCGAATTGAGAATATCATGAGGGGAATTAGGCCAATGGCGGAGTGTAAATGGTTTCACTGGCTGCGTAAAGGTAATGGTGCTGGGATTTGCATCGGAGCTCTAGAAGGATGGTACCCGAGGATTCATGGACGGCGATATACGAGCAACCCAAGAACCGGAAGACGGCAACGGGATGGATTGGATGGGTCTAGAAAAGGAGGAGAGGGAAGAAATGGATTGCACTCCCTCTTAGCGGCGCCTCGCAAGGGTCTCCATCATGATCATCATCCTCACTACCATCCGCCACGATCCATGATGACGTTTACACTTGCACCACCCTTCCCCACTGTCGCTTTCTCGGACCACCCCGGACTCTCACGGCGCACCGTAGCTCTATTCAAGCCTATCTCATCGTCCCATCCCGTCCCATCACGTCCATTCTTATCTTTCTACCTCCCTATCACTATTCTCGTTCCGCGGCCCATGCCCTAAAACTATAAACCTGGCGTTGGCGTTGGCATTAGCGCTAGGTTCTCTCGTAAACTGCTCCCAGCCTCTCTGGCATGGAAATTGTAAGGGTAATAGGTACAGTACCAATCCGAGATACGGATCTGATACTGTTCGTAGATTCTCTTCATGAATGCCGTGCCTTGGGTAGTTTTCTAAGTTCTAGCACTGTGTTGGTATGCATGTCTTACCACATTTTGGACGGAAGGGGAAAACACTGGATTGTTTTGGGGAAGGGAGGTGAGATGTAGGTGCAATCAATTAGGGGTTTGGTGGTTTGCGGAGGGATCTAGGTTTGGGTTTTAAGGGGTGATGGATTGGTGATATGGCGTATCATGGCGATCGTATTAAGGGATTCTTTGGACGTGCTCAGAGTTGGAATGGAATTTCATATGCTAGCTATCCAATCTGTCACGTCGGCCTAACGTCTATCTCGTTCCTAGCTACAATCCAAGGTCTTTCTATATCCAGCTACCAGTTCAGCGTCATCTTACCTGCGATGTTCTAGACCATGGGTATTTAGCGCAGTAGAGCCTGGAGCGAAAGCCAAGTACCCGTTCACGACACTCCTTCATCCCACCTCTTCGCCATAGGTGCCAAGAAATCCATAGTCTCCCTAAGTAGAGATTTGGGCAAGATCTAACATTAACGTGCATGTCACAGCATTTCTCTGTAGTAGCAATAGCAACATGGGGCCATGACCACAGTGGAGAATGAATACCAACAACGTTAAGTATCTTTCTAAAAGTGGGGAGAGCATCAATAGAACCCGAGTATCTGTTCCCGTCCTCCAGAAGAACAGCAATTGCGTCTTGGAATGGTACGCATTGGATGGTGGAGGAGAAGATTCTGCACAGTTTCCTAATATCCGGATACGATGGGTTGGGCTGGGTCGTTAAAATTAGCATCAATAGCAAGGCGTGGATTCAGACTCCGAGTGACTGTCAGTTGACAAGAATCTAGTGGGCGGAATGTACAGTGGGAGGAGCTAGACTGGGCCTGACAGCTAGAGTATTGAAAGCGATGGATGGATGATGAGTGGGAATTAAAAGGGCTCTGGTAGAAATCATGGAAGGCGAATGCGCGACCCTTAAGCCCTTAGGGTTACACAATAAACTTAGTGGGTTTGACTGCCTACCTATTTACTGCGCGTCGAGAGCCCGGGGTGTGCAAATCGCCACAGGTCGCGTGCCCATATACGTAACCGTTAGAGCAGCGGAGCACCATCTCCAATATATTCCCAGCACACAAATCGCTTGGGAAAAGCTGGAGAGACCTTATCGTATGTACATATAGTATATACGTATGCAAGACGAAAAAGTTGGAACTGGTAGCGAAAGCAAGGTCGATATTACCACCGTCCCTTGAACCCGGAGTCTGCGGCTGTAGTGTGCATATTAACCCACGAGCGCAGCAGCCAGTGACATGAAAATCTGTCTGTGAATACTCCGTAGGATTAATATTGACGCGCGGTATCGATGTGGAAGAAGAGAAAAGTCAGGACATATTACTAACTCTGCTCCGATCGTGTCAATGTCATGCATACAGACCAGACCAGACAAGACCCCAGGGACGCCGGTCCGAGCCTTGTATCAGCATCCGCGTCTGCGCTCGTGAGGAAATTACATGTCAGCGCTCACCATTGCCCTGTCCATGCGTAGGCAGCTATCACATGGTCCGTTAGGCCTTAAGAGTCATCAGTCTGTAGTGACGAATTTCCGTGGAACGCTCGACTTGTTCAAAATCGGTTGATGCAACGTAGTGCATGCATGCATCCCAAGCATTGAACCGCGCCAGCTACTCCATCTATATGCATTGAAATGTGCCGTACCTGCATGGGGTCTAAAGCCACATAGTGAACAACCGACTGCCTGCCATGATCGACCAGCGATGACCGGTGAAAGAATATCTATGTAATAGGAAAGAGGTCGGGTGGGCTGATTGATGCATGCCCAGAGGTTCCGGACACTCGTTCCTGGATTCGCTCCGGGATGGATGGCGCAATTAGCATACACAGACAGGCACGAGCACGAGCACACTGTGGATACTGCTGTGGATACTGTATGCATAAAGCGCACGCAGGTCGGATACGTAAGAGTCGACTCTATATGCAATACCTGCAATACAAGCAGGTCCACTCCCAGGTCGTGCATGTGTACGCCATCGGAGGTATACCTGCTCATAGCCTCGGAGCTGGTGAGGCCATACCAGAGGCTGAATTGTGGGCATGGAGTATTGAGTTTACGCTTGCGTAATTACGAAAAGCGAAAAGTGAGTGGAAAATCTCGAACAGCGTCGTGTCTGAAGATGTGTACAAGCGACCTCGGGAACGTGGATGCGATGCATCCATGTTTCATAGCCAAAAGACGCAGTTTCCCAATCAGGCACACAGGTCCCTGGAACATGCCGTTTAGCAAGCAGGCATCGAAGCGTGCGCCGCCGCTTCCAAGGATTATTCGGTGCAGTTACGCCTTTAGGACTGCCCATTCGGCGGCCCGGGACTTTCATCCCGCTCCCCTGCTTCGCAAGGAAAATCAAAATCAAAATCAAAAATCCAGAAAAACTCGGAGGCCAAAAAGTGACTAGGCCTGGAAGGCCTGGGATGTTGCTAGAAAATTTAAATAAGGCTGAAGAACACTCCAAGGTTTGCAAGGGGCTGTTGGTGCTTTCTCATCAGCAAGTGTAGCATACAGGGACCAGGATCCCGGGTGAGGGAAATCAGACAAAAATTCTCGCTGCTAAGGTCATTGACAAAACGTGGTCTGGCTCGCACGGGAGGGAAGGGAAGAATGGAAGGATGCCTGTAATGGCTGATTGTGATATGATATGATATCGTTGGACTTGTTTCATTCATGACTTTGCTTTTGGGTTGTGAGAGGCTTGCGTGGGCGGGTGAGTGGGAGCATGAAACTTGGTGCCCAAATCCTGATTCTTCGCCACGCCTGCTCGCGCCAGACTTTGGTGCGTTGGTGTTCGTGGTTGGATTGTTGGGCGCCTGCTCAAACCGTGCGTCGGTCAGTCATTACCCTGACGATACAGCCAGGGCCTGCTATTTCGACGACCTGCGACCATGAGTCAGCGCATGCTAATGAAGGCACGTGACTTACTGCGCCGCGTGTTCTGCTTTCTCTTTTCCCGCTTTCTTTTTGAGACGAAAAAGACGTCGCGATCTAGAAAGCGGACCAAAGGCTCAAGAGAGAAGAGAAGAATAGCGTTGCAGATAATGTGGAGAGAGAGTGGGGCGCGTACCTTCTCGTGCCAACTCAGGAGTACACTCATAGCCTGACCACCACCTTCACCTCCTCCACGAGAATGGATTTGTGAGAAGCCAGTCGCTTGAGGGGTTATGTTCCGCGTTGTGCTCGCCGCGTTCGTCTGTGACATGCCCTTGTAGCTGTCCCGGAGCAACGTGGTTAGTCAAGAGCGCTCAATGAGGGAACTTCAGACGGAAGGTAGGACAAGGGAGGTACATGGTCATTCGAGCTTCTTCGCAGGCAAAAGGCGGTATGGAGGGGACCGAATTGGTTCGCGAAGGACCTCCCTAGATGCTGAATTAGGGAAGTGGAGCGTACATATACTTCATGAGCACGTCCAACGCCTCCGTTCCACCTGGCGACTTGTATATACGGCCGAGCATCGGCGACATATCTGACTGCCGGATCGATTGGAGAATCTCGATAACGGTGGCTAGGTGGACATCCTATTGGAAAGTGTGAAACTACAGTCAGCGTCGTCTACCCCAAGTGTCTCTGTGTGATTGTACAAAACGCTGTCCCGGTCGCCGGAATCCCCAGTCCAGCTCGACGGTCGCGACTGTGACCATACGCCCCGGGTTGGGAGAGACACTTGACGACAGTACCCCGCCATTTTGGGCGAGGGCCATCGGCGCGAGCACAGTGAGTGGAGTTGGAGCAGCTGGTAGAGACGTACCTTGCCCCGCTCATCGGCTCCGTATGGTGGATTCTCCAACGCGCCCTGCAAAGCCCCCTCATTGTCGCCCCCTCTGAGAAGCTGCCGTATCTGCCCAGCGAGCGACTGCACATCAGCTGTTGAGACTGGCGCGACGGTGGCCGTCAATGTGCTCAGGTCGAAGTTGGCAGGGGAGTCGGGATCCAAGGCGTCAATGTTAATTGTGCGCCAGTTGACGGTAGCCATGGTGGCTGCGTTCCACTATATTGGTACGATGGATACAGAAGATGCGAGAGTATCGGACAGTAGGCAATAGGGGTGGCTGCAGTCTGGTCGGCACGGCCAGGTGTGATGACGGAGTCGGCGGGCAAGCTGCAATGTTTGTGATCGTGGGGGTTGCGTGCGTCTCCACCAGTGCCAAGCATTTGGGCAGCCCGAATTCCCCAATACTGAGCATCGGAAACTTTTCTCGACATCGGGAGGTACCTAGGTACCTTCACTCATCACACAAGCAAGGGTCGGCGCTCAACCACTGCAAAAATGGTCGGACGCAGCGCAGCTCAGGCACCCAACGCCTATCGATCTGGTCGCAACGGAGATCCGCGGCGCCACGAGTGCGACAATGCCGCTGCGGCAGGAGACGTGGGCACTTGAGGTCACTCCAAGAATAACATCATCGATCTCGATAAAGGCAACTCATGTAGATTGTGATTAAAAAGACAGTCTATTTCCACCTCGGGCGTGTCTCGCGACACACAGGACCGAGACCCAGGCACCTCCAGCTCCAAACCATGATACCAACAAGGGCAAAGCGAACAACGCCGTCGCCTTTGTGGCCGTCCGATGTGAATGCAAAATCGTCGTGTAGTGATCATGAACCAAGTGCAGGATCCACCGACCGCCATTCCGCCGAGCTATTGTACAAAAAATCCACGCCACTATGCGAACGAACGCAGGCGAATGGAAAGTCTACCCTGATATGCTGTCCCGAATGAAACGAAGAAAAAGCCGATTTTTTTTGGTATCCATGCCTGGGCCCATCCTATTCTAATAAACGCCGAGAGGTAAAGGAAACTTTTTTTTCCACAAGGAGATACCGTCACTGTGAAGGGTGCGCCAAAGCAAGGGGGAGGACGGGGCTGTCGATGGAAGGAATTCGCTGGAAACAATCAAAGGAACGCAGGTCCGGGGTATTAGGCATGCTGAGGAGAGGAATCGAAGAGTCGCTGATTATTAAAAGGGCGTAATCCGAGGTAACAGCCGATGAAAGTGAGAGGCGCAAGGATTGGAGAGTTGGCAGTGTCGGTCATGTCGGGCAATGTGACATGGAGGAGTAAGGCTGCAGCGATATATTGGTTAGTCAGAGTTTATGCGAGGTGAGGTGAGCGAGACTTACGATGCGCGCAATGTCATCCCTCGGTCCTCAACGGGACATGTCTATTCTCGGGATTGCAGTGAGACCAGCCAGGGCGAGAGAGAAAAAGAAACCGTGGTCGTGGCGGAGACGGCAGGTCCGATGTTGAGACGTAGATGGCGACATGTCGCTATCGCCTCTTTGGCGGCGGCGGTGGGGGTTTCGGGGTACCGGTCGTGTCATAGGCTCCGCGTCCCATATTGTTCGATTCCGAGGCTCTAAGTATCATGTTGACACTGTGGGGGGGAAGGTGGCCTGCTTTATAGTATTAGCGGCGACATGTCACAAAATCCCAAGCGCGCGGGTTCACTCACAGATTCGGCGATTGGCACCAAGATAGAGCGTCAGCTTGGTGAGCGGCGGTGACGTGCTGTGTGCAAGGACGGGGCCGGAGCAGAACGGAGCAGAACAGAGCAAAAAAGGCAGCAGGGAGCGGCGTAGTCTGCGAGGTTGCGGCAGTGTGTGCGAGCTCACGCAAATACAATAGTGCTGTGTGGTGTGGGAGGTGGTGTCGTGTACCAGAGGACTACAGCCGGGTAGGTTGCTGGCTTTATTAAAGAGAGTAGGTGAGGGAGTGAAGGTGAAGGGGTGGGAGCAAAGAGTGAAAGCAAGAAAGTCCGGCGGCGAGGACCCGTCCCTCATATACACAAGTAACAATCAGTTTAGGGGGCTAGCTGCAAAAGCATCGCCTAGGCTCACGGCAAGACAAATGAAATGAGAGTGCTTTTCAGGAAGCAAAGCGCAGGCTCCATGACGTGCCGACCAACGGGACTTCGGGCTGTTTCATCAACTTCTTCCCTGCGCACTCATTTACAAGGGGATCTGCGCACCCACACAGGCGGGACTTCGTGTTATCCCTGCAACATCCACCAGAGACGCGCTAGCGCGCAGGTACCTGCAGCCCCCCCCAAGACCTTGCCGCAAGCCGTCACGCTTAGCCCCGTATCCTCCTAATTCGCCGTCAAACCAACGTCTGCCAGTCTGTTGCCTGCGCACGCCTGCCCACCCTCAGCTTGGGGATGCTGACCTTCTCCTGATATCGCCTTCGTTGTGCCCTCCGCGCGCGGGTGTGTGGCACAGTCCCGCCCTCTCAGGAAGAAGGATCCCAAGCTGGTGACTTTGGCCGCTGCTCTACCAGCGCATTTGACGCACGCGCTCGGCTTAGATGAGACCGTGTCAGCGCCGGACCCATTGCCTCTGCCTTACCTTCCAGCGAACCTACTTGCTTGGGCTCGACGACTAGAGCTGTCCCTTTTTGACTCGCTGGTGCGCCGCCGCCTCCCCGTTGTGGGCGCCAGAAGCCTCACCAGAAGACGCCTCCAAGCCGCGGAAGTGTTCCCCGATGGGCCCAGTGGAGCGCAGCGCATGTTACTGCGAACCCAAATCGCTGCCCTCACCCAGGTAGCTGGTACGTTGGATGGCTGCCCCTAAATCGTCCCAGCTCAGAGGCACGGAGTCAGGACAGCATGAGGCGCGCCTTTGTGCTTGCTTTTGGCGGACTCTATCTCTGCGGAATCACGGCGGCAGGATGCATCGTTATGTTTCCTTTTGACTGTAGAAAAAGCTTCGTTCAATGTTGATAGGCTGCTCTTATCCACGTGGGATTCTTCCACGACCCCCTCGTATGCTCTCGCTCCCGTGGAGTCGCCCGAAATAGCTGTAGTCCTGGACATGTCTTCCGCTCATCTCGTGTCAACCCTCACGTCTCCAGGCAACTCCCGTCCTGTTCGCCATGCTGTGACTCCGTGACTCGACTTGAATGCGCCCGGGATGCCTGCTGCCCATCCTGGAAGAGCGTTGGCTCAGGGCCGGAGCAAGGGACTAGGCCACTTGTCCAAAGCAGGCTTCGCGTCGGCGCCAAGTCCTTCGCTTGGCTATTTCCTTCTGGAAAGGCTCCAGAAACGTTCTCGTTTGATCGGCCTAGGCGCGATATTGACCCGCCACGGAGCCATGTCGCTGAGCCGCAGGAGAATGTCACTATCCCTCCTGGCCTGCGGTCTCAATCGCCACCTTGGAAGGGCTGAGATGCGACGTCGCAAAGAGTGCTGTGTCATATTACCGTCAGTGACAACCGCGCCCAAATTTGGTCGCTTCGTTCTCGGACATGTCGCATTTTGCACAAGATCAGTGATCGCTGCAAGCCTTCCGCGCATGCTCCAAGGAAACGGAAGCTGTATGCAGGCGTGCGCGTGGATTCGTTCGCTGTGACTCTGCTGCAAGTGCTGGGATGCGAGCCTGGAGCCGGTTTCACGCACAGCAACCGCGCTTTGTCGAAATACACCTCAAGAAGCCGAAAAGTCTCTGTCTTGATGACCACCACGCTGCCGTCTCCTTTGATGCGCAAGACTCTGACAGCCACCTGCTTTTTGGCGATGATGACATCTTCTCCCCTCTATTGTCCACCGTATAGGTTGCTTGTTGCGGACCAGCCCACAATTTGCCAGAATGCACGCTCTACGCTGCTGCCAATAAGATAATTGCATTTCTGGGAAGTGAGCTGATTCGCCCGGCCACGCCTCAATTCCTCGTCCTCCCGCCGGGCGATATTGACAGGGGTTGCGACAGCAGAGTGAGACCGAGACAGGACCTCCGAGCAGGATGAGTGAGAACATCACGGGCAATCCATGGTAATAAAACCAGCCTCCCGACTTCCGAGGTCAAAACACGGCGCAGGAAAGCCATGAGCAGTCATTGTACGAAGAATCTGCAAGGCCTCTGTGGAAGCTCAGAGCAGGTGTCCCGGTCGATCGCACCTTGCGAGTTGCCAAAGTGAGGGAGAATTACCACCCTGACGCATCTTTTGTCGCAAACACTTCCCAGCAAGCCAGCTGCGTTGCTGCTCTCTTACGACCGCTATTCCTGCGAGATCCTCCAGTGTTGGAATATTCTCCACAAAAAAAAGATTTTTGAAATTGCGATTGTGAATTTTGGCTGTGGGGAGCACCGGAATGTGGGCACTGGGCGAACGGGTTCGAGCTGGTGGGCATGACGCTACTGCAAGGCCCATCGTCTGTCCACTCCGGTGGAAGCGAAACAGGGGTGAAGACAAAACAGGATCGATACCTGCAAAGGCAACCCTGCCGACACGTGGAGTCAGGCTGAAGAGCTGCCGTCGACTGGGAACTTTGCCGTGGGAAAGGGGGGGGGGGCGAGTCTGTCTAAGAGGCATCGTTTGCTTGCAGCCCGACTGCCCGCCGAAATGCGTGTGCTTGAACGCACACGGTGGGAATTTGAATCAGCATTGCCCGTCGCATTCGGGCCGGTCATCTGAAGACACGAGAGCGGCCTAGTTTCCAGAACGCCTCCGGGCGACAGCCGAAGCTTTAGCCGGTAGACCACCCGTCCGTAACAGGAAAATAAGGATGGATGGGGATGTGTATTTTGCAACGTTCCACGGCAGTCTTGGGTCGACAGTTTGCGACCTGACTTTCTCGAAGGTCCGTCGTCCTGCTTCGTCATCTAAGTGCCAGTCTGCCGATCTCGCTGGAAGTTGCGTCGAGTTGAATAGATCGCCCTCGATGACCTCAACTTGATCACTATCCCTGATGATCAGCGAAACATCCACCCCAGCCTCTGCGAGAACACCTCCCCTAGGAGATCTTAATGCCTGCCCGGCCTCGGGCAGCACAAATGTTGCGGTCAGTTTGCATGTGTTGCCCGACAAGCGTGCAGCAATCACAACGCTGACCCGAGGGTTTGTCAAGAGCTCAAAATTGGTCGTCCCACCAGGAAAGTTCTCGTCAGTCCCCGGTAACAGGTACTTTGTCGCGTCTCTGCAACCACTTGATCACTGTCGTGGAATACTGCCAAGCGGCGGCTTGCTGCGCAATCTTTGGATCTCTCCGATCTGTACCTACCCGCCAGAATGCTTCGGATTTGGGTTGCGAACACCAGTTCCTCGTTTGCGGGGTCGCGGATACGACACTCGCGTTCGCAAAAATCGACAGACGTTCGACGATTGAAACAGTGATTGTTTTCCCTTGCAAGATATGGACTCGTAGCTACCCATCACGTTTCACAAAGGGGAGGTGAAGCAAACTCCATGCAGGTGCACCGGACGCGTACGAAACATTCCTGCCGCAAACGTGGTTTTCATGGGAAAGAAATAAAAAGGCACCCCTGGGTACTATCCCATTTACTACTACTATTGGATGACGACTGATAATTATAAGATAGCTCACCGTTCATTGCTGCTATCCATGCGCTATCAGGTCTAGGTTCCTCCAGTGTTCTTGAAAATGAACTATGACACGCCGAATCTATATTGCTGCAACTCTGCAGCAATATGCGGCTTTCCGCCCTTCTCCTATCTCGAAATAGGAACTCCCTTGCCGTACCCTATCGATCAACTCTCCATGTTTCGTCCCCTGCAGTTTCCAGCAAGGCCGAATCGGACTGATCCTTTCACAATATAATTTTTTTCGCGCATATGCAGCATTTATCTGTTTCTTCGCATCTGCAGCCGCCATTCTCTAGTTGTGTGCCGGCCGCGTTCAAGCTCACGATCCTGTGAAACCCGAGTTCCCGGCTCTCGCACAAACTTTTCCTCATCCAAAAACAGCACTCATTATGTAGTGCAGGAGCGGGTTTTCGAATCCTCCCGCCGCCCTACGAAGATTGATTACCCTCACGTACCATGGTCCGGATGACATGCATTCCTTCACCGATATTTCTTGCGGATATGGATATCTGACTGCATGAGCCCGGATTATCACCTCAGCAATAAGCACAGGTTCGATGACCCTCTATGGTCGGGCATGACGAAATGGTAGCGCTAGCTGGCTGCTGACAGGCGGAAGGATCCTTCTTTCCACGTGGATTCTCATCCCGTTCTCCCGCCCTACCGTCGTTAGCGAAGGCTTGGGGCTGCGCAGAACTCCAGCGTTTTCTGCGGCTGTTTCGAGGCTGTCTCGTGGCTCGGCGTCGATTTATAAGTGTAGGGCTGAATCCTTGGTTGGGTCCGAGGGGCTGATCCGCCCGCATGTTGCGGCGGGGCGTCTGGACTCTGACATGAGCTTGCCAGCTATACACAAGGTGGTTGAGCTAATGTGCGAGAAAAAAAGAAAAAAAAAAGGAAAGGGACCCCTCTATAGGTGCTCCCGTCCCAAAATCTTCTATTGATCCAAATAACTCTAGATTAGAACCTTCTTGCAGCACGACAACTTCAGCCGCAGACCTCAACCTTGCTCCGAGCGAAAAAGAACCAACAAGAAAATAACAATCACCAGCTCTACCTCCAAGCGGAAATCCTAGAAGATTGTGCAAGTTCGCAACACGAATTCCGCTAGCGCTGTTTGCACACACTCTAGACCGACATGAATACAGCGGCTCAGTTTTGATTTGTTGGATTAGTTGCGCTTTTTTCTCTTATCGCAGTCTCTCTTATCAAGCCCCTCTCGTTAAGGCCTAAAATGACATATTTTTATTCCTGTTATTCTGTACGGCTTTGTCGGCAAGATCATGCAGAAATTGAGCGGACAAGTCTAGGCCTTGGCATTTTTCCGCGCTAGATTTAGATCACCTTGTCAGTTTCCTGGACATGCAGATGATTATGGTTAACAGAAGCCATTCCTGTGGGTGCTAAACGAAGTTTGTGTCCACTAGTGTCACTGTGCATAGACTGCATTTTGTTCGTTTAGGTTTCATGTTCGTGATGATGATCTCGACAATTAAGAGCGCTTGTAGTACATTTAACTCTCGTCTAATATTCCGACTGTGGTAGTGCGGCAGTGTGGCAGTAAAAATGGAGAGGTCGCGGAATGAGTCGAGTACCGCAAGGAGGCTGCGCATTTTCTGTGCTTATTGATAAATAACATGGTTTTAACGGCAATGTGGAAGCTATGGCGGTGAAGCACGACTGGGAAGATACTGTTATGCTTTTACTTAATCGCGGTCCCGGACAAGCCATAATTGTACCCTAACATACAACGGAATTCTCTCCAGATATTATTTTCAATTACGGCCGAGCATATTACTTATCTAGACTATTACATCCAACTTATACCTAACCCTCGTAGGGTTCTCTCTTAGTTAATCTACTTCAGCTTGGGCTCTGATATTTTCAGTCATCCAAGGGAAACGATTGTCCAATATTGGGTAATGACACGTCACTAAGCAGCATCTTGACACTCAGTGGTCTTATAATCCTCAGACCGCTTAGCCGCTATTAGGCAAGACTCATATTAGTATTGCACTCGACTAGTGGGTGGTCAATAATAAGGGCTAACTGGATTACCATATATAGGTTCGTCGCGGAGGTATTCAAGAGGGATGTCCCACTTTGTCCCCGGGTGCCAATATAGTCGATCTTACACGGGAAGGATTTCGGATTCGTGTAGACGACGACATTTCCTGCGGAATCTTCTATTGTGCCCTAGGCAAAACCGTTTCCGGGGAAATCCGAGCTATAATTAGTGGCATTGTTCAATAAGTATATAATGAAGTTGAGCGCTCTCATGATTCCAGCTCAGGATTCGATTTTATTTCTCCTGTGCTGTCCAGGGTTGGTATTGAATGCTTTGTAGATCCGTTCAGCTGACTTAAGATCTGGTTTACTTACCTACCGGGTCTGTCCACCTCTAAGATCTATGTTTTGAAGGTCAGGGTATCTAGTGAGTTGTTGTCTCCCAGAATTGTGAACTATAACCACCGCCATTTTAATCTATTATTGCACTACGCGGCATTATTCAAATATTCGATGCTTATCTCAATTTTGTCCATAATATTTAGTCATAAATTAGATAGAAAGAACGCAAGACTTCTCTTCCTTTTCTTGGTATTATTAGTTCCCCAGTTCGTGGAAGGCTTCCCGATATGAAGCCGCGGTGATCAAGGAAAGTTTTGATCAGTGTTCCCGACCGTTAGTACACTTAACCGTACATACGACCCGTACAAGGTGGTTTAAGCCGTACGTATGTATAGGGCCTACATTCCGTATACTCTTCCGCATTTGAGGTAGCTGTGCTAATTATTTACGGTAGCTATACAGGTTTTTGGGTCGTTTTTAGGTTCCGGGTTAGGTTTAGTGGCTGCTAGGGCTAATTTAGGCGTGCAAGGGCTCGTACATAGACATGATGTTTTAATTCCTCTCACAGTCAATAAAGCGCTCATCACAGGGTGTTGCGCCCTCGCTGGCCTCCTCTAGCCAACCCCCTGCTAAGGAATACCGCGCTGCCTCTTCCAAACGGCTTTAAAAGGCTTAAGCGATATCCTCTAACTCATTACCATCTTATTATGGGATTCCTTTACGCCTTCTACGTGGTACCCCGGCCAAAGAACATCTAAATGATGCTTCATTAGACGTGGTGATAGCCTTTAAGACTAGCAGTAATAACACATTGTGTATTAGCGCTATATCTCACCTAAACCAACTAAGGTACTGCGTGAGCAGAAATCTCAGCTTCTTAGGCACTACAAGGTTTCGTTTATGTAGACGTACGGCGCAGGTCTGCGGTGCGTCAAAGAGGATGGCTAGAAGAAGCAATACTAGCCCTGCCGGCTTACCGCCTAGCTAGTATTCGAGAGGTAGCGAAACTAGCGTCCACAACGTACAGTACCTCTAGAGTGCTTACAGAATTGACCCTAACGCTAGCTAGCTAGGAACGCACACGACACATGACTTCAAACAAAGGCCTATTGGTTAACCTTGCAATCCTCCATAACAATAAGGGCCGGATCACTAAAAGGAGGAGCAAAGTTAACAAGCTTAACGCTATTCTTGAGTCCTTGGCAGACGAGAAATACGCCGGAGATGCCATGCTACTATTAAGCGCTTAGAGAGTCATTTCACCTCTTCTACTTCTTCCGCAACGGGTTAGATCGAATGAAAACAAGCTGTTACCATGTACGATCCATACATCTGCCCCATCTCCTCTGTACAGTAACGTCATATCAATTGCCTACTCCGTGCAGTTACCGAACCACCTCAAGAATCGCTCCGTTACTAGCGGTCAGGGACAATAAAACCCCTAGAACTCTTCAGTCAAAGACGGCTGTGGCGGCATCAAGATCGGAAGCTCCTGCTGCGTTGAGGTTGTTCGTAGACGGAAACGAGGAGCGCTACCATGAAGCCAGCCCACATGGGTCCACTCAAGCTGTCTTCAAACTCAGGGTAATCTTATCAAATCTTCTACGGCCTTCTTCTTCCCGGTCAAGGATGAAAACTGTGCCAAAATCGCCAAGAAATATGGAACCTTTACAGTGGAACAATTCATCAAATGGAAACCCGAAGTTGGATCAGATCGCACTAGGGTCTGGGCTGACTCATACAATTGTATTGGTACACCTAGGACTCCTACCACACTACCGACTGCAGCCTTGATAACAGCGGTCCAAACGGACTCGCCGAAACCATCCCTAGTTCAACACAGTCATATCTTATGGTGTAAGAAGTTATATTTGGCAGTGAAAGGCGGCACCTCCGCTCTCAGAATGTGAAAGGTACGGCGTATTTCCATTGAGGGACTTTGTCTCCTGGAATCTGACCATCGGTGCCGACGGCACCAGCCTTTAGGCGGAGATGTACTATTACGTTACGATCCCGAGAACGCCTTCTCCCCTACTAGAAGGAGCACACTTACAGTAGCCAGGCCTCCAAGAAATGGAATCCAAACCTTATCCACCCAACCGGCATGATCTCTGACTGCGATGCCTTCCATCTCCTGAGCGCGGAAGAGGGGTTCCAACCTATCGCAGACAAGAGCGGGATTACACTTACACACTTCCTAAATGGAGCACGAAAACAGGTGGTGCTGATTGCGGCGCCTTATGGGTCAAGGGCTGCGTGTGCGTCCGCATCGTTGAACACACCGAAGCCGAAAACTACAAAGAAACCAACGAGAACGACAAACTAAAGCCTGCAGGGTGTAGCAAAGTATACCCGAAGCATACACAACCAGAATCGATCCGCGCCTTCAAGAAGTGGTAGTTACCCGCGGCGAAAGAGTTCTGTGCCAATATCGAAAGAAAGTCTCAGATTCACGCCAACAATATCTGTTAAATGGAATAGATTGCGGTATGTTATGGAAAGACAGGTACGTTTGTGTTAAAGACAGTTGAATATTTCCAGTGTGTCCAACTGTTAGTTACAGAGCCTTTTAGAGGTTGTATAGTACAGTTATAGAAGAGTTAGCTATTACTAACTAACTATACAAAGAAGATAATGTTAGTGTATAGTTTAAATACAGTAACTAAAGTATTATAAAGTAATTGCGCTAAAGCTAAAGACTATACCTAATTAGGAAGTTATAATACTCTTTATAAGATCTATAGTTATTAATCTTACTAGTAACAGTAATGTTATGTAACTAGTTCCTCTATTATTAACGCTAATAGTTAATTTTTTTCTATTATAATAGTTTTTTTAGCTTATAAGAAGCACTGCTTGCACTTACATAAAGTTGCTAGGATTAATAAGAAATTAAAAGTAATGTTAATTTTAAAAGTAATTTTAACATTATAGTAGGCATTATTTAGGTGCTTCTTAGCCTAGGTATCTTGTATATGCTTTAAAGGAGTTGCTTCACGCAAGGACAGCTTAGATAGGCTAGGTAAGGTTATGCAGGCCTTCTCTAAGCATTAGAATAAGGCAGCATAATATATCTAGGTAGCAGAACAGCTAGATAAGGCATGTAAGGATAAGGCTTATAAGAATAAGGCCTGTAAAGATAAGGCCTATAAGGTAGTAACATGCTAAGATAACTGCGTTATTAATTAAAATAAAAATTAGGACATTATAATAGGCAAAAGAATAAAGTAGATAGCATAGTTACTAAATTTATTAAAAGATTGCTAACAAAACACGCACTAACAGTATTCTCTGCATTAATCTCTAAACATAAGCTTCCTAGCCCTTAGCAACCTGCCTTTAACTGCCTAAAACTACTAAAAATCCTATATAACTACTGTAAACAGTTAGTACAGCAGCCTTATGTATAGTACAGTATACTAAGTAGATGCCCTGTACGTACGTACGTGACCAAAATTGGTGTACTGCAGTACTGTACTATTAGGTGTACTAACGGTTGGACACACTGAATATTTCAAGAAGAGAGAGAACCAGACATTTCGCTCAAGCATCCCCGCTGCAAAGTAGCATGTTGTCTACTGTCTGTATTCTCATCAGCCGTATTAAAATTTGGAGGATAAAGGTTGCATTGCCAGATGATTTCCGTCCCTTTGACTCTTCATATGTTTCTTTCTAGCTTTTGCTTCCTTGATGGTTGCTTCCATGGAATGCTGCGAGGTCATGAACAAACTTGGTTTTCTGTAAGGAAAATTCTTTGAAAGCTGAGGGGTTAATATAATGCACTTGAGTAGGTAGCTAGAGGCTGGGTCTTGAGTTTCAGTTTGTTGAATGATGTGAGATTATAGATTAGAGGCTTTTAACGTACAAGCTACTAGAGTTAGCAACAATTAAGTTAACTTAATAACTTAACTTAATTAACTTAATTAATAGACTTAAATCCCTAGGATTTTAGGTTTACTAGAGGATACAAGATTCTTTAGTGTGCAAGAGTAGTAAATATAGTATAAGGCAGCTTAGCTTTAAGAGACTTTAGAGTTGTAATAGTTGTCTAACTAAGCTTAGCACTATATATCTAAAATTCCTTATCTTCTACTACCTACTAACTTACCTGCCTCTACTACCTCTCTTACTCTACTAACGCCCCCTTTTATTAATATAGTGTTGCCTAATTATTTAAAAGGCATAAATAGTAACTTTATAAAAGTCTAAACCTAGCAGCTTAAAAGCGCAGCCTTATAAATTACTTTTAAAAATAGCTTTACTAATTTAGCTACTAACGCGCTATTAGAGCTTAACACTAATAAAAGCTCTATAAAAGGCACCCTTTTTACTACTAATATTATTAATAATAATAATAACATATATAAGAGCATTAAATAAACATGTCTACTTAATTATTATAAGCTAGTTTACATAGCAAAGCGTAGTTAAAAAAGCTAGGTTTAGTAGTATAAGTATTACCTTTAGCACTATAAGTAATAACACTTATACTAGCTTTACTGCTATTACTACTATTATAAGCACTTTAATAAGTTTTATTAAGCTAATTTATTAACTATGTTAATTACACGCTATCTTGCTAAGTGTAAGGCTAGCTATAGTGTTAATAAAAATAGCCTAAAAGCTACTTTTTATATTATAACAACTTTCTTCTAGTAATTCTCCCTACTTGCTGTTACAATCTTTACTTTAGAGGAATAGTGTCCAAAGAACTCTAGGCCTAGGGAGAAGGTTAGAGGATTAGAGAGGAGAGAACTTAGTCTAAACAGGTGTACAGTCTGTTAAGGCGTAGTTACTAGGACGTAGAGGTGCAGCTAACTGTAGTTTACCCTTTAACAGTAGTATAAAGTGCTTAGGTTAAACAGTTCCTATGTAGGAACAAGAGAGGAGGTATATATAGTGTAAGATATACTATTAGATTACCTTTTATTAAAAAGTAGTAACACTACTTAGTCTATATAGTAGTAACTAGACTAAACTTTAATTATAACTTCTAAGTAAAGTTAGGATTTTAAACTATATACATAGAGTTGCATGCTCTGCATGCTTTGCATGTTTTACATGCTTAAGCCTTTGCAGCGCGCATAGCATGCATAGCATGCAAATGTGCCTTACTTTATTAGACAACGCATCTAGCTGCGCATTAGTCTAAAAGCTCTGTTTATTCCTTACCTGTTAAGTTACATAACTTGTTAAGTAAGAAGATAGGGAGACTCTATCCTTGTTTATTTAAATAGTAGGGTATAGAGAGTTAGCAGCTTACAGTCTAATTATAAGTTAGAACATGCAGGCTCCCCTCTTTAACAGCGTTCTTACTGTTCTGTTTACACTGTTGTAAGCGTTAGAGTTCTCTTTTATTTAGTAAGTGCTCTTTTATAAATGCCCTATAGATGTAACAGCACAGGCAAGACAATGGGTCTAAATGCGGTGGGAATCCACTCAGAGGCATATGGGAGTGCGTGGGGACTCAGAACCTGGGAATGCTATTAACACCTATAGGCCTTGTACAAAAGGATATTAGAAAACTACTAAGCTAGCTATAGGGGCAAGGTGCAACTAAATACATGAAGGAATAGGGGTACAGTAGGGGGCAGGGCAGAGTTGGGGCCAGGTCGAGTCAGAGTTGAGCCAGGGTCGGAGCCGATACAGAGAACCTTTGGATATGCTTAACTAAGTAGTAGCTAATAACTAGGCGCTTTCTGTAATTAAGGGCGCTGCCTTTTAAGCTATGTTATAGTAAGCTAACTTGTTAGCTAAGGCAGAGCTGTGGAGGTCCTATAACACCCTATAAGCTTATATAATTATAGAGTACAAGTTATATGTGCCTACTATTATTAATTATCTTTATAACATATAATTAGCTATATATATCTTTTTTAATAATTAGATGTTAACAGGCAGTAAGTAGACGTTTATAAAGATCTATATACACTATCTTAATTACAATAGCGCGCCTTGTAATTACATACTTAGCCTGCCTTTATTAATAGACTAGTATATAAGTGTTAATATTACTACTGTTATTAACACTATACTAAAAAGCTTTAAAATCTTTACTTATAACTTAGGTTACTTTATTTTTAATAATACTACTAATAATAACTTTATAGTTAACGCTTTAGCTATTAAATATAACTTTAACTCTTACTATTAATAACTATGTTGTGCTTACTACATAATTAACTTTACTACTTAATAAATTATATTTAGTAAAGATTATAAGGTGCTTAA